TGATCGAGCTCTGACTCGAGGGGGTTCCGGAGTTGCTCGTCGGCGGTGTTGCGACTGATAGATTTCACTGCATCCATTCCGAAAAGGATGTTTCCATACTGGTCGGAGCCGCCAACCTGTACCTGGGTGCCCTTTTGGAACATCGTCCACCAATCCCACGCTTGGAGAAGGGGGTAAGAGAACTCGGCAAACGACATGCCGTCGCCCTTCGACAGACGGTTCTTGACGCTGTTCGATATATCAGTAAACAAGTGACGTTCCTGTCAGATCTCGCAAACTCACGTCTCTCTACCGAGCATAGGACCAATTCGCATATAGGCGCCAAGGTCACGCAACACTTCAAGGAACGGCATCGAGTTCCACCAGGTGTTGTTGTTAGTCAATGCCCGCTTCCACATCGGCTGCCTCTCGTATCCGTGCCTCCTGGCGTAATGCTCAATGCTGATGCCCAACTTTTTCAATTGCATATGCATGCTAGCCATGTTGGCCTTTCGGATTGAGGAATGTACGGCATCACGGCCCTTTAACCGCCCGGTAGGATCGCCAACTCGAGATGTAGCGCCGCCAAGCTGTGGACTGTCAGTGAAAGCTCTCCCGATGAGCCGAGAATGATAGAGTGGCTGACCAAAAATGTAACCGGAATTCCCCAGACGTATGCCCAAGCCAAAACCATGAATGGCAGCATGTGTCCAACATGCATCGAAGGAGCCGTAGGGTCAATTCCGACGTATATTCCAGCGCGCTTTTCCGTAAAGACCTTATGCAGCAAATCGCGTTCTCTGCAAGACAACCACACTGGTCAGTATATCGTTCAACAGTCTCACACAAGCGGATGCAAAGGTATAATCTGGTCTTGGTCTCACGTACCCGACAACATCATGGATCAGACCACGCTCCTCCAGATGTTGCGCGAAATTCTTCCTCTTCCCTTCCTTGATCTCCTTCGCAAACTCAGCCCACTCCTTCTCCCCATCCTTCATGCGCTGGATATACTTTTGCGTAATCCATCTTTGCTGCTGGAAGCATGTTGCAGATTGCGAGGCAAGCAATGCCGGGCGAGTAGTGTCACGGCGCAGCGGACTTGCTGTCGTTGCGGCGAAATTGCGCGCTTCGCCTAGGCATTGGCGGGGATTGAAGAGATTGCGCCAAGTCGCCTGGCGGAGCGGTACCGATTGTGGCCTCATTGGACCGGCTTTCAAAAGGGAATATGTGTGAAAAGAGCTGCAATGGACCGGAGTCTGGACAGAGTCAATACAGAGCATCTCCGAGATTCTTTCGATAAGTCCGGAGTATTGATGATCCGGGGCTTATCGCTGAACTTTGTCGATCCTCTTCCCGGTTAGGGTGATCTATGTACAATGAGAATCACAAATGTGTATACAATACTTCAGAAATGTACTGTTTAATGTGATTCATCATTATTATACTGTAATTATTCTTCAGTGCTACCTAGTGAATGAGCTTCACGCTTGGGAACCCACCCATCCATCATGGAAAATCGGATCTCAAGGGGCCAATTCCAGAGGAACGAAAAGAAAGCTAACAAGATAAATAACAATATTGATCGGCTTCAAAATAAACCACTGTGCTAGCTTATCCGACAAAGACCTGTACAAAAACCTCGTTACTCCACCCACTATCCAATTTCATCGTCTTCCAAGCAGTCAACACATCGATCGCCAACACATTACCATCCTTTCCCCCTTCCTTCCAGACGGTCTTCTGAGGGATTGGCTGTCCCTGGATCATAACCATGAAATTCCGAGCAATACTCCTATCTGGAAGATCGGACATGTAAATTCCAACAGTTCCAAGGGCTTTCAAACTAATATCAAATCTCAACCGGCCGTTCTCAGCGAGGAATATATCAGAAGTCACAACGGCCGCGGCACCAGTCATCTTACCCAGTAAGCCGAGCACGGCCACATGAGCCAGCCTGTCAACAGAGTCATGGGCTCTTTGGTTTACATTGAGCGTAAACGATTGGGTCGGATAAGCGGTGAGAATCTCCCACCCCCTTTGCTCTAGAACGATTGAGACCAGGGAGTCTTGATCAATTGGCCGCATGCGAGCGGATACCTTCCCATTGGTGTGTGCGCGGATAATGTAGTAGCCATGAGAGTCGTCGTGAATCCCAGGGAAATCCATCAGCGAAACAATAGTTGAGGCCTCGCTAGAATGGATATTGAACAGACCCAAGATCCCGCTTCCGGTCCTCGCCCAACCGGTATAGCTTCCTACGCGCAAGACGTTTCCCTCATTGTAGCCGTGGTAAGTGTCAATTGTACGTCCAATAACACTGGGGCGCAGGATTATTGTGACATCTTTGACGGTTGGTGCAGTCATCTGATCAAGCAAGTTCAGATCATGCTTTCCAGGCTCGTCGGTGATATAGATCGGTCCGCCAGATACGCATCTTGCTGCAGCGTGGAAGGAGGCATATAAATGGCTCGTTTGGAACATATCCCAGTCTGGGAGCACGTTGAGGTAGCGGGTGAGTAGTGAATTATGTGCATTACAGAATACATGCCATGCGTGGGAAGCAGGTATCTCAGGGAAGAAGTCGTCCGAGTTACGGAGCGGAATGGTAGGTTTGTTGTTTGGGAGTTGCGAATGGAACATGATTTGAGGGGTCATTGACCCGCATGAGATTGAGCGAGTGTTAAAATGTCTGAGTGACGCGATTGACCATGCATCTTGGTAGGATGTCATGAATCTCCTGCGGTCCTCCGGGTCTTCAAGGAGATCAATGAAGAACTGTGCATCTGTCTTGACGGAGTCTATGCCCACCGAGTCAAGATAATTATAGAAGTCGTTATAGAAACTTTGGATATCGTCAGGATCAATAGCGAAAATTTTGCCCTCGGGAAGAATCTGCGCAATTGGGCCGTTGGGCGCTGGGTCCTTGATTTTGACTTGCTTCATCTTATATCTTTTTGCTAGATCGCCGTCTGGCGAGATACCACCCCAATACCCGAACAAAGCATGCCAAACTGCAATGTGTTCAATGTTGGGATTGGTATCACGGATTGACTCCACTGTGTTTTTCAATCCTTTGGGGAAACCTTTCGAGTGAGCTTCGAACTGCTGTAAGCCTCTTTTAAATTGAGAATGACCCTCGTTGTCATTTGCTTGCCAGCCATCATCGATGATAAGGTTGGCAATTTGAATTCCGCTTGATTTCAACTCCGCCAAAGCGTGCAATATCCTCTCTTCGGTAAGATCTTGACCAAGACCGTTCCAGGTACAATATGTCAGACCGTCAAACCATTGAGCAAGGAATTGTGCACTTGGATCTTTCTCTACAAGAACCTCGTCATCACCTGGAGGAGATGGCGGAACTTCTTCCGGCAAGGCTGCATCCGCTCCATCAGCAAATGGTCTGACAGCCTTTCGTGCCTCGTACATCACTGCAGACATAGCTATCTCAAATTCTTCGGCGACAGCAACGAGAATATGGAACTTTGACGTATCCTGATTGTCACTCTTTGCTTTGATGATGATTTCTCCATTATCGCCGGATTGAAAGACGGTCAAGACATCGTTGACGCCTGATACAGCCAGCAGCACCAGGTGGACTCCGTCAGTTCTGAGGAATGAGCAGAGTATTGCGTCTTCAGTGAGTCGAAACTTGTCCTTGCCATGTCTAGGACCCAACCATGGACTCCACACCCGCACGAGCGAGAAATATCTCAACACTGATAACGGTGTACCAAGCACGACGCGTTTGATAGTTGAGCTTCCTTCTTGGCTCGGAGCTATATCACCTAATAAACTCCAAAGTTTTGAGCCAGGAGCCTCACTCCTCTGCGATTGAATTTGTAGTTGGTCTGAGAACTTATTGATATATTTGGCCATCTCCTCTCGTGGACTTTGAGCGGATGGATCCCTAGCCATAAAAAGACGAAAGTCAGAGTGCCGTGAGCAATAAACAATCTCGCCATCACTGACTGGATGCTTCTGGTTGGCCCACTGCCACTCGGCGTCTGGACTAGTACGGAAGCGTACTGTAAATTTGGCATGGCCTCCTTCAGCGGGTAGGGAGATCTTGTCGGAAAATACATGGCGATGGTAGTTATACCCGTGGTCATTCCCATTTAATCGATTTGCCTGCTCGGGGTTGGATTTCTGCAGCGGTAGAGCTGTCCATTCGAGACTGGTGATGTTATGCCAGATCTGCGCATCCCATGGCTGTGCGGGGAATGAGCTGCTGGATTCGATTGTCACCGTGAAACGCAGCTACCGACAATATCAGCATCTGCTTTACGTTTTAACAGAGATAAGACCGGTTGCTCGTGATCCATCGAAGAGAATAATTATTGAGAGTACTCACCGCATCATCATCATCCTCGGATCTTCGGATGTTGGTGAGTTGCCCCAGTGGTGGGTAAGATGTTACTCGCGCGAACATCGCCAGTTGATCTGGGCGAACAACTGTTCCTGGTGATGTTTGTGTGTCTTGGCCTGATTCCCGTATGGGAAGAGGTGATGTGCTCTTTCTGTCATTCACCGACATTGGAGAGGGGTAGGATCCAGCGCCTTTAGGCTCGACGATAAACGCAAAAATGCGAGTTGATAAAGATGTAGAAGTATAATGAGCTAATGTAGTTTGAGACAGATTTCTATGTGCTGCATGTAAAGCTTGGAAGGAAGCATGTTGACGGGAAGTTGGAGAGCGGCGGGGAAACTCCGGGGTATTAGGCGCCCCTTGCCTTTTCAAGCATTGGGGCGACGACCGCGATAGCTAACCAGCCACAATATTTTCTGTCTATATAAGCTACAAATGAGTGAATGTTTCAATCATACTTTTCAACTACATTAGCTACGTAGTACTCAAACCAAACGGCCCTGGATAGTCCAAGCCACGTTGGTTACGCGTGGAAGTGGTCTACATAAATGTTGTGTAGCCCACGATAAAAGGTATAATTATCGTTTATTTCAACTATTCATAAATATTTCAATTTGCTACATTTGTCCTCGATGTATTTGCGTAAGACTTCTTAGGTGATCTTGATCGTCAACTTGCCGAAGTGCTTTTGAGCCCACTATGACGCGTTTTATCAGTATGTGAGCAGTTGCCATAAGATAAGATCAACTCACCATGTAATCATAAGCTTCCCGAGCCTGATGTAGACTGAAGACCTTGTCATCCACTACGGGGTGGATATCATTGGCCTCAATAGCCCGGACCATGTCCCTCATCTGGGCCTTGCTACCAACATAGACACCGCGAACAGTGCAAATGTGAGTCAACGTTTCCAGCACAGTCGGCTGGATCTTAGGATCAACGCCTCCGACGAAACCAATAACACTGATAATACCCTCGAACTTCACACACTTGAAGCTCTGCCGAAGAGTGCCGCTTCCGCCCACTTCGATAATGTGGTCCACGCCAGCTCCTTCGGGAGTCAGCTTGCGGACAGCGTCACCCCAGTTGTGGTCAGCCTTATAGTTAATGACATGGTCCGCACCGAGCTTCTTGAGCTTATCGGCCTTTTCGGATGAAGAAGTGGTGGCAATAACAGTTGCACCAGCAGCTTTAGCGAACTATAACATAAAGTGTTAGCCGAGAAATGTCTCATTCGGGGATATTTTCTCTCCACTTACCTGCAAACCGAACGTGCTAACACCGCCAGTTCCTTGCACAAGAACGACCTGGCCCGACTTCACGGGCTTCAACCCATAGAGAGCATTCCAACTGGTGAGGGCCGCGCAAGTAAGAGTGCTGGCCTCGAGAGCCGTCAGGTTCCTTGGTGCCTTAACCAGCCCCTGCTCGTTATAGACGGCATATTCCCGCAGGGTACCGTCGATTGCGCCACCTAGGCCGGTCGTGGCGGCGTGCAGGTCCATTTCACCAAATTGGTGGCCCTGGTTGAAAAGAGTTGCCACTTGATCACCCTTTTTGAACTCGACAACCTTAGATCCCACTTCCACGACTTCGCCAGCACCATCCGAGCCGGCGACAACAGGGAGATTGACAGGGAATGGGTATTGGCCCTGTCAAAAGTGAGTGATCTATTCCTCAAGCTGATCCTTATACATGAACATGAAAGTGTAAGTAATTTTATTTTCATACCTTCGGGATAATAAGGTCACGGTAGTTCAGTGACGCAGCCTGGAGCTTCACCAAGACTTCGTTTTCACCGACTTCCGGGACCTCCGCATCCTTATAGACAAGGCCATCGAGGTCGTGTTCCTTGTCTTGGATGACCCATTGCTTCATGGTCGCAGGAGGCATTGTTGGATGTATAGTTCTTATGGGCACGAATGCTTTAAGATAAATTCAAGGTAGCGGGGTTGAGGAGAATCTGAGAGTTTATATCATTGAGCACCCTGATGTACTGACGTATGTATGTATGCATGCAACTTCCGGGTTCCACATCTGCGCACTATTATGACGGCACGATTATTAAGACTCAAAACAAATTTGTTAGATGCTAAGTACATGTATGTACCTAACTGGAGACGACACTTTCCGTTGATACTCAGACTTTGGCATCATTTTGACACTTGATACTGAACTGTACGACAGGGATATCATATACATGACGTTGCTGCTCTAAATTATGCTTAGTTAGCATAATGTAGTCACATGACCGGACAACTGTACATGATTGGCCGGCGACAATACGTACAGCGAGGTTCTTGACGCAGTGTGACCATGCATTATGTGATAGCCAATCTTAATACGTGTTCAGCTATAGTACAGTACCAAAAAGCTCGTGCGTGGAGATAACCCGATAACCCACTCGCAAAATGCCTCATTCGCACATCGCTCGCCCGAACTTTTTTTGAACATCAGAATTACTTCGGACTCTTGGATAATCTTGTTAGGACTACTTTTCGCGTTATATGAGATTGAAGCCCTCGTCTGTGTTGTTCAGAAATCCAAGTTTATTCTGTAGAGTACATCTGGTGGCAATTTATAAGGCTGATCTTCATAGGCTTGTGTCGGGAATGACTACTGTATGTCCAACACCATGCTGATCCTGTTTGTTTTAAGCGAAAATTCTCCTGATATTCTGGATGTCTTTGGATTTCTTCAAGCCCCTGATTATCCTGTGCTTGCATCTTACTAGTAAACTTACTACATTCACAATTCTGAGGAAGAAGTCTCTTACATGCGTAGGTTTCAGTGTTGGGGCACTTAAATGCAAACTTTAGCCAACCCAAGCCAATAATGATTATTACGTGAAATCATTCGACGATATCTGCATTAAGCCTAGCATCTCTCGCCGATGAACACGAAATCATTGAGCTCTTCGCACCACATGGACATGAACAGTTGCCCGGGGCGGTCCGGAACTCTACAGTAAGGCTAACACAGGATCATCCTCTGTGTTCAGCCGCTCAGCTTAGCCAGGGGTAACCAACGGGGCCACGTTTTGCTGTCCTCTCATATTGAAGCATTATGGACGTGGCTGATGTGGTGTTGCACAGTATTTCAATACCGACCAATTTTATCTAGATGTTTCGCTCTGGATAGTCTTCAAATTCACTCAAAAGCATCACGCCCCCATATAACACAAATTGTCGGTCAAGTTATCTCAACCTTAGATCTTGGCGGGCTCCTGTTCATTGCACAAGTTGGTTGCCTAACTGGTTTATTATAGCAGAAGGATCAAATCTACTATAGATACATAGTAGACACTGCAGACCTCAGTATCAATAATTTCTATATAAAGCCGTCTGCCATAAGGTAAGATATACATAGGAGATGTTGTGGGTCAAAACATCAGCCGGATTGCAGATCTACGTTGGTATGTCTCGAGTTTCTAGGTCACAGCCAAAATCTATACCAACCATATATCAACAACAAATCTAATCTAGTGATTAACAAATTCTCTAGTTCTATCATCTCGCTAGAGCTTGGGACTGATAGATTTGTCTACTTTTACCCGCTTGTCTTCCTATCTTCCTCTCTATACGTTTGGTCTATGGCGGATCATGGCCCCGACGACAGTATACTCATAGATTCACGACCAGCCAATAGAGCCTACCCTTCGATTTTTGTATCAGTTATTAATGGTTTTGTCTTCTTTTACTTCTGTTTAAAGGCATTTGAGTTATGTTCCTTAAAAAGTGGCGCATTTAACATCTGGCCAAGCACCCCACTCTATAGAGCCGATCCACAATTGTGCAATCGGGAGATAATATCGCGATTTCAATTCGACATTCACTGGGTTCATCGCTAACATGATAATTGCCGATGGCGCGAGCTCATCCGATCGCGTATCGAAATGATCTCCTTTGGAGGGGAAGGATAAATGCAAAATATAAATAGTCGTGAATTCTTCCTCGGCTTATAACTGCTATCTGAATAACTACGACTTTTGTTTCTTACAATACCTACTTATTATGTCTCTTGGACGAACCTTCAAGCTCAATTCGGGCTATGACATCCCCGCCGTCGGTCTCGGCACTTGGGTATGCCTCCCGCCTCCAATACGTGAAATGAAATCGCTAACCTATCCATAAAAGCTCTCCAAGCCTCATGAAGTTGAGCAGGCGGTTGAAGCTGCTCTTCGCCAAGGATACCGTCACATTGATGCAGCTGCGTGTTATCAGAATGAGAATGAAGTAGGAAATGGCTGGAAGAAGTCAGGTGTGCCTCGTGAGGAGATCTTTGTGAGTAATATTTCCTTAACAGATGCGACAAGGAATAAGACTAACAAATATTTGCTGCCATTAAGATTACTAGCAAGCTCTGGAACACCCATCATCACCCCGATAACGTGGAGGAGGGCCTCAACAAGACATTGAAGGACCTGCAGACCGACTACCTGGATCTGTATCTGGTATTATTCCAATACTTTCAATTCAATGACAACTCTAACGCTTGTGACAGATTCATTGGCCAACTGCATTTGCTTATACCAACGAAACTCTCACGCCAACGGACCCGGTGACGAAGCGATTCCGCTTAGCCGATGTTCCGGTCTCCGACACTTGGGCCGCCCTAGAGAAGCTCGTCAAAGCGGGCAAGATCCGAAGCATTGGAATCAGTAACTTCACAATCAAGGCGACTGAAGATCTGCTCAAGACTGCAGAGATTCCTCCTGCTGCCAATCAGATTGAGGCTCATCCATATCTTCTTCAACCGGAACTCTTTTCCTACTTGAAAGAAAAGGTATTCTATATTCTGGAGCATCACGTTTGCTGAATATTCTAACAAAACATCTCAAGAACATCCTTCCGGTTGCCTATAGCCCGCTGGGCAACAACATCTTTGATCTACCACGGTACGAACTTTTGACAAAAACGCCTTCTTTTACGAACCTGTTACTAACATGAAACTAATAGAGTTGTCAATGACCCTGTGGTCGAGGATATCGCCAAAAAACTGAATAAAGACCCTGCGCAAGTTCTCATCTCATGGGCTATCCAGCGCGGTTCTGCGGTGTTGCCAAAGAGTGTGACGCCCTCGCGCATTGAGAGCAATTTCCAAGGTATAATCCTGTCTCCCTTTGTGCTCTTTGGAAGGTTTAACAAATTATATAGATTTCGTCATCCCCGATGAGGAGTTTGCCGCACTAAACAAGCTGGACAAGAACGCCCGGTACAACTATCCGTTCCGTTGGGGAGTTGATGTTTTCGGAGAATTGGGTGCTGCTGAAGCTGAGCGACGTGCTGAGGAGCATGCTGCAAAACAGAGAGCTGCTTAAGTGGCTATGGCCCAAGTGGGTGTGGCATTCAGTGAGGGCGGATGGATAACATTATATATACTTCTCGCTCTGGCTGGTCAGGGCAAAATTTCATGGAAGATATTTTTTTTCAAAATCAACAGATCTCTGACGTAGTAGGTGATATTATAGAAGAACTTTAAATGGAATTGCCAAAATAAAAGAAATATAGGTGTGTTGTGTACGCACTCTGCATCTTCAAGCCTCGACGCGGCTCCAACCACTTTTCTTCCGCCGGGAGTATGGACTCAAACGCATTTCCCCCACACCTAATTCCTCAACCTTGAACACTTTATCCTACTGTGATAACCACACACACCGAGATGCTCTCATCTATCAAAGAAGGCCGAGTCACGAAAAACAGAACCAAAAAGTCCGAGCCTCCCACTCGACGCGTCCCCAAAAGTCAGTAAATGCCTCTGTATCACACCCCATCTACATGATAACCCCCCAAAGCCCCCATGATACACAGATTTCACCACATTCCAAATGATGACGCGTGCTAACCGACCCACAGTGCCCCCGCTAGTCGAGCGGACCAACGCATTAAGCATTGGAGAATTCATCACCAAATACATGCCTCCTGCCACAGCATGTGATCAAACTCCAGAGAATGCACCAAGTCAAGCTCCTCCAGGCTCAGGCCAGACAGAGCAAATTATGCCGATTGAAACGCCATTGGACGTGTACTCCGCGGCAAGCATCTCCCCCGACGACCTAGAAACCTGTCTAGACCTCATCGAGCAGACATCAGGCGAAGCCTACCGCGCCTCCAGCGGTGGCTGGTCCCGCCGTAAAAAGCGCAAGGAGATGAAACTTCCCGATATGAAGTATTTGATTCTGCGGGGTGATTCAAATGACGAGGGAAAAGTAGAGGATGCTACCGATACACCCAAAGAGCGCGATGAAACGGGTCTGGTTCCTACGCCTCAGAATCAAAACGTGCTTGGTTTCTTATCGTTTATGGTTACTTACGAAGATGGCAAGGAAGTGGTCTACTGCTACGAGATCCACCTTTCGCCGAGGGCCCGGGGGCGGGGTGTCGGGTCGGTTCTTATGAAGCGCATGGAGGAGATCGGCCGGGCTGTCGGCTTGGAGAAGGCTATGTTGACTGTTTTCAAGTCGAATGTGGTGGCTTGTCGGTTTTATGAGAGGCTTGGGTATGAGATTGATGAGTACTCGCCCCGACCGCGGAGGTTGCGGAATGGGACGGTTAAGGATGTTGATTATATGATTCTGTCTAAGCAGTTGAGAGTATGAGGACGGACTATTTGTTGGATGGTTTGATGCTAAGCTGATCGTTGATGGAATTGGAAGTGAGAAATATGCTGGATTCTAATGTACATTGTGTTATACCTGTCGTACTTCTGTGCCTTGTTGTCCTGGGTTGTCTTGTTCCCACTCGTCTCTGAGGGCGGCGAAGACGGTGTCTGCAACTAGGATGGAGAGACCCAAACTCCAGACTAGAGTGATGGCGTAGAAGAAGTTAGCGTTTCCGGACCCTGCGTAGATCCATAGATGGTAGAAAGCGGGACCGAGAAGGGTGGAGTATAGGATTGCCGAGACTGCAAAGAAGGTATATCGCATTACTGAGAAACATTAGCCAAGGAAACCCTGGAACGGGACAGCACAACTAAGATACTCACGTGGGAAAAGATGACGGTACAACGGTAGCAACGCGAAGTACAGAGATGCATCTGAGATGCTGGGGTATGGCTTGAAGATCGCAAAGACACCAAGAAGGGAGGTGATGACGAACAAGGGCTGTCGTCGGAAACGCGCTGTGAGACCTCCAACATAGCTGGCCAAGTGAAGCCAGAAGACTCCGAGGAAGAACTCTCGGAATGAATCGAACATTTCAATGAAGAAGTACCACCATAGACCGACGTTGGGAGTCAAGTCCGGAACCAAAAGATGGAACCCATAAGTTGCCGATATAAACTCCCAGAAGTTACCGGTGATCATGACCGAAAGTCCGAGCAAGCCTGCAATGCTGGCGACGAGTAGACCGGCGTGCTGCATGATGAACGGTGCGATCTTAGGTGCTTGCGGGCCCTGCGCGCGTTGGTCATAACAGACCAAAACCAGCGGAATGAACAAAAGCGCGGGATACAGGGATAGGTAGGAAGCGAGTCCTAGGGCTAGCATAGCATTAATGCTATTGCCCGAGACTGCATTTGAAACTGCGAAGAGGATCCCGGAGGCGGTAAATACGCTGGTTGATCGTGCCAAACATGTCGCAATTGTGAAAGGGTTGAACAGAAACCTGTTTCTTAGGTTAGCACATGTGTCTATGAGTAGCCGAAAAGCGGAAGACCATACCATGCCGCGACAGACACTCCGTTCCATCGGACATGCTTCCGAATTGCCGAATGGAATCTCGAATTGATCGATTGGCCTGACTCGGAGATGGTGACCAATGCCTGAGCATTCACGAGGTCGACTAGAATGTAGAAAATTGCTGTAGCTAAAGGCCAGGTCTTTGCATCTGGAAGTAGGGCGAACAGAGGTAACAGGAGCGGTGCCTAGATCGGACCGAACTGTTAATTGCGCGAACGTAGTTGGAGTGTCGGATCCACAAACCTGGTGAAAAGTACCCCCATCATACGGGGACACATTGCCCTTATATAGAAACAAGCCTTCTTGCACTAATTGGAATTAGCTTCAAATGCGCAATAACTGGTTGTTGGGGTCACGTACATCGTTTGAAGCTATTGACAGGGGTCGAGACCTCGACCCTTCCTGTCAACAAGTCAGGCAATGAAGGAAACAGACAGATAAGAAGCAGACGCAGCACAAAGGCTGCGCCAAAGACCACCAGCTTCCGATCTATCATGGCTGCATTGCTGTGGAGTGTTGTTGTTCCAGCTGTCCCTTAGAGACGACTCTCTCCGCCTTTGTGCACGGGCCATCGGCGGTAAGAAAAAAAGTTATCGAGAAATTTTCTTCTTCTTATCAGCAGCCATTTGGACATTCTGACAACCATTCTTCATTATGGCGAAAATCAAGAAGAAGGGTATGTTTCGAAGCCCTGAATTATCACATTTTCACCGCTAACCTCCTTCTTAGGTACCTCTGGCCAGGCCAAGAACTACATTACCAGAACTCAGGCCGTGCGCAAACTTCAGATCTCTCTCCCAGATTTCCGCCGGCTATGCATCTTCAAGGGTAAGGACCTCTGTTCTCCGTCCATATGAATCGCAAGTCTAATCACAGTCTCCGACATCAGGTATCTACCCTCGTGAGCCCCGTAACAAGAAGAAGGCCTCGAAGACATCAACCCCCAACACAACCTTCTATTACACCAAGGATATCCAGTATCTGCTCCACGAGCCGCTCCTGAACAAGTTCCGTGACCAGAAGTCCCTTGCGAAGAAGATTGCTCGCTCCCTGGGCCGTGGTGAAGTCAGCGATGCTGCGCGCCTCGAAAAGAACAACGCCCCGAAACTCACCCTCGACCATGTCATTAAGGAGCGTTACCCGACCTTCATCGATGCTCTCCGTGATCTTGACGACGCTCTTTCTCTTCTCTTCCTCTTCGCCACCCTTCCCTCCAGCGACCATGTTCCCGCCAAGACTATTGCGCTCTGCCAGCGTCTCTGCCACGAGTTCCAGCATTACCTGATCATGACCAACTCTCTGCGCAGATCCTTCCTTTCCATCAAGGGTATCTACTACCAGGCTACCATCCAGGGACAAGACATCATGTGGTTGGTTCCCTACCGTTTCGTCCAGCGTGTCAACGGCGACGTCGACTACCGTATCATGGCCACCTTCGTCGAGTTTTACACCACCCTCTTGGGCTTCGTCAACTTCCGTCTGTACTCATCTATCGGTTTGAGATACCCGCCTAAGTTTGATACCCGCAGTGACGAGAACGGTGCTGAACTTGCGGCTTTCACTCTTGAGGGTCGCTCAGTAGGTGATGTTCCCAAGGCTATTGAGGCAAACAAGCCCCAGTCTACCAGCAACTCGAACAAGGAAGTCTCCGAGGAACTCCAAGCCAAGGTGGACAAGGTGATCAAGAATGCTGGTCTGGACAAGACCACAGATGAGAAGACAGTCGAGAACACCGAGGAACAGACCGATGCCATCGACCGCTTCGAGCCCGCCGCCCCCGAGGCCGACACTCTCCCCCAGCCCCAGATGAGCGGCAACGAGGCCGGTGCACTCTTCGCTCCTTTCGTGTTCTACATTTCCCGTGAAGCCCCCAAGGCCCCAATTGAGTTCATCCTCCGCGCCTTCGGCTGCAAGCGCGTCGGTTGGGCCTCCGTGCTCGGCGATGGAGCCTTCACCCACGATGAGACCGACCCCCGTATCACTCACCAGATCGTCGACCGACCCCAGCTTCCCCAAGAATCCCTCCCCGCCATTCCCGCTGCCGACGAGAACGCCGTTCAGAAGGTCAAGCCCGGAACCCGCATTCCAGGCCGCACCTACGTCCAGCCCCAGTGGATCTGGGACTGCATCAACGAGGGCAAGCTCCTCCGTGCCGACCTCTATGCCCCTGGCGCCACTCTCCCACCCCACTTGAGCCCTTGGGTTAAGGCTTCTCGCGGTGCTTACGACCCGCGCGCCACCCTGGCCGAGCAGGAAGAGGAAGGTGAAGCCGAGATCGCTGCCGATGCTTCGGACAGCGACGAGGAGATGGATGACGAGGCCGCTGTTGAGGAGAAGCCCGCCGAGGAATCCGAGGACGAGTCTGTCGACGGCGGCATGGATGTTGCCGGCACCGACGATGACGAGAGCGAGGAGGAATCTGACGAGGAGGTTGAGGACTTCGGTGGCTTCGAAGAGGAAGCCGCCTCTGAATCCGAGGACGACGATGAGGCTGCCCGCACTCAGCATCAGAAGGAGCTCGAGGCCGAGGCTGCTGGTCTTCCCTTCTCCTCTGCTGGTGCTGCCGATGAGGCTTCCAAGAAGAAGGCTTCCAAATCCAAGAAGCTTGCCGCTAAGAAGCGCAGTGAGGATGAGGAGCTCGAGAGACAGAAGATGATGATGAGCCGGAAGAAGCGCAAGCTGCTCGAGAAGATGATGTACTCGAACAAGAAGACTGCCGATGAGTCAGCTAAGCTTCGTTCGAAGAGACGTAAGCTCGAGAAGGGCGAGAAGGGTGAGAAGGGCGATAAGAACTAAAGCTCTTGACTCGACCGTTGTGCATGTTAGATAGTGCTTTGCAGGGCGTTTGTGGTTTGGATCACATGTATAGGCACCTCAAAAATTTGTGATTGAAGTTTAATGCCATTGAAGGGATTATATCCCACTTATATGTATAACTTTGTTCTTTTTATCCTTGTATACTTCCTTTTAAATAAAGGTCCTTTGGCATAACGTTACATAGCGAGGAAGTAAATCTCCTACATCCACGGGAAGACAAACTCCAGCGCTAGAAGCTTCTGACTCATCCTTCGGCTCACATCCGAAGTTGACGACGTGTATATTCACTGTCAACTGTACTCTTCGTGTTGCTCTAGTATTTATTGCCAGAGAGCGGATCATATCTTATCCAGACAAGTTAAGAAAACCACAGAAGTACCAAGTACCAATCATGACAACTAGCAACCCCCAAGTGGGGTGGATAGGTACGACAACAGCAGAACAATCTCAATTTCAATCAGGATCCTAACATCTTCTAGGCCTCGGAAGTATGGGTCTGGCAATGGCCCAAAATGTCCAACAATTCCTCCACCGCGAAAAGAAACCAGGCTTGAGATTTTGGAACCGGACAGCGTCCCGTGGCGCACCACTTGAATCAATTGGAGCTGTCGGTTGCCACTCTATTGCCCAGCTTGTTCGGCAATGTGATCTCGTGTTCATATCTGTAAGTCGGCCTCTATTTGAAAGAGACCATCTCGTGGTCTACTCCATCTTAGGACGAACATTGCTTACTGATAGTGTGCAAAAAGACCAGCGACGATGTGGCGCTAGTTTCTATCATCGACCAGATTTTAGCTGTGGAAGATATAGACGGCAAGGTATTCGTGGATACAACTACAGTTCATCCAAGTACTTCCAAAACTACAAGCGAGAAACTGACACAGCGGAATTCATCCTTCGTCGCCGGTCTGTAACTATAATTGTTTAATGACCTACAACTACTCACAAATAAAAACAGCACCGGTATTCGGAGCCACCCCAGCTGCACAAAAGGGCCAAGTCCTCATGGCGATGAGCGGACCTAGCAAAGCCATCGAATTAGCCTCGCCATTTGGAAAAGGTGTCATCGCCCGTGAGGTTATGATTGTATCAGATGAACCTGAAAAAGCTACTCTACTCAAGGCTTTGGGGTAAGAACCTTCCAACCATGATTCCATTGTGTGTCAGATGGTTCAATCGCTAACGCGATGCAGTAATTTCATCGTCGCAGGAACAATGGAAATTGTAGGCGAAGCCCATGTGCTCGCCGAAAAGAGCAATCTCGGCAGTGGGACACTGGAAAAGCTACTCGAGTTGAATTTTGGGAGTTTGGCGTATTCTGATTCAACGCGTATGACGCAGGGAGCGTATATGCCTGGAGAGGGTAGGTTTACAGACTCATGCCTGTGAACTATTATAATTTGCTAATGCTATGATTTAGGCCAGTTGCCATGGTCCAATTTGAATTTGGGTATCAAGGATGTGCAGCATGGTATTAGTTGTGCTCGAGACGCTGGAACGAGGTTGAAGGTTGCGGAAGTGGCACTGGAGCATATGCTTCGGGCTAAGCAGTTCTCGGATGAGAATGGTGGTCGTCCTCTGGATTCATCATCTGGGTATGGTATCATTCGCCAGGATGCGGGTCTTGACTTTGAGAATGAGTTTGTGAAGAGTCGGGATGGGAATGGAAGAAGGAAAAGCTTCTAGTTATACAAAGCCTTGTACTAACTGATTTGGTGTTTGTGGATGGAAATCGCAACTCAGGAACACTTGGAATAATGAATTTGACTCTAGAAAGTAGAAGCCTAGTAATAACGGCTCATAACGACACTCCCGATGCTCAGCCTTACAAGCTCGGAGATAAGTATGGCTCTCGCCTCGGGTTACCAGTATCGGAATGCTTACCACGAAATGCTCCAGGATCAGAAATTAAATGAGAAACCGTTCGTAACTCGGCACTTCTCGTGTGAACAATTTCCTCAGAGTAAGGCGTGCGGTCGATCGTACCTAATCGAGAAGGGCGGACCGATTAAGCTCGGATATAAGCTCTAGGATGCTACGGTCCGGGAAAAGTAACTGTTCATAGTCCAACATGAAAATATTAATCAGGTTCATCGCCATAATCATGATCTTCTGCTCAGCCGCACTCTTCTACGTGAAATATCCGTACAGACACCAAGAATCAATTCCCAGCAGAATGCTTTTCCGGCTACATATCGTCCGACATGCAGAGGGAACGCACAATCCTGCCCATGATACGACGATCCTAGACCCGCCACTGACTGAAAGAGGAATCGAACAGTCCCGGGAGCTATCACAAACTTTTCAATTCAAAGAAAGTGTTGGACTAGTGCTGGCGTCTCCGCTACGACGTACTCTTCAAACAGCTTACATCGGCTTTCAACGAACACTCGATCAAAAATACTACGCCAAAGGATCAGGAGCAGGCGTTCAAAAGGGTGCAAAATTCGTTCTTGAGCCGGATGTGCAGGCACACTCTTCTCGTCCATGCGACACTGGCTCGGACATTTCCATTTTGCAGTCCGAGTATCAAGATCTGCCCTGGGACATCCTTGAATTGGATCCTACATTCCCTAATAAGGAAGGGCTCTATGCGTCTGATTCTGAGGCGCTCAAACAGCGTGGATGGCGTATTCAGCGTCGGTTGGAGGAGAAGTTTAAGGAATTGGCAAACACTGCTCGGCCTGATATTGTTGTTGTTACGCATGGGGGCTTTATAAGATTTGTTACAGGAGATGATACTTTGACTATTGGGCCGGCAAAAGCAAGGAGTTTTATGGTTACATTTGATCAAGATTCTAGACTTGTTATTGAACATTCATTGTCTGGGTAAAACATACATACTCTGGTTCATTTGTGTGGCTGGCTATGAGTAAACTGGAAAGACCCCGGTTAAATAGCCAGATTTGGATACTTGAGCTACTATGGAAGTAGATAGTCTTAGGAAATAGAACAGTATGGTATACTTTGGTACGGCTAATAAAGGAAAGTTGTTTGTGAATACTTGTATACTTATGCATGCCGCCCGACCTGGGATGAGGAACAACGGCTCACGTAGGCCTTCTTGAGAGAGGTTCTGTCCTTCGAGATCAGGGAGTCGGCCTTGGGTAAGAATAACAGCAACATGGTCCCCGGCTCGACTCACCCTCTTCACTGGGTTCTGCACACACAAAAGTGGAGATGCTTTGGGTGGAAGGTGGACTTCCACAGGCAGTGCCGTTGCTCGCGGTACAGGTTGAGCAACTTGCGTCCATCATGGCTTGGATTGAGAGGTCATACAGAAAGAGAAACATCTTGCCTCCATTCGTCCTGGCAGTTCCTGTACTTGCTGCCCAAACTTGATGCCCCTGATGCAGAAGCGACGCAGACCACCGCACTATCCCGACATGCGTTTTGTGCCTGGATGCTTGTGGGGACATACCGGTATGATCATGCGTCGTGAGACTGGTCTTCAGAACGCAGCTTAATCTGGCTATTTTCGATAATCCAGCTTTGCCTTTTGGGACGAGGCCCGAATGGTCGATTTGGCCTTTATGTACCCTCTTTCGGGCGAAGCACTGACTCCAGCTGGATATCCTGAGAATAGAGATCTTGTTTTTCGGTGGGCCAGTATCATGCAAAATGGCAAGAGTTTTACCTCAGACTTTCCTACAATCAGCCAGAACTAGACTGCATTGTACTCCGCCGTAGCGTAACAACCTTGGAAGCTATCTACAGTAGTTCAATATAATAACATAACTTAATCAAGCATAATAGCCGTCTCATCATCCGGGCCACTAACACCACGCTGATTCGAAGTATCGTTCACAGTCATACCATGTGTCTTCTTCATATGCTGATTAAGATTCCATTTGCGTGAGAATCCATTCGAATTTCGAGGACATTCCTTGAAAGGGCAGAGGATGTCCACTTTTCGGTGAGGTCCTTTGCCAACACCTGGTCGTGCTGGTCTTGATTCTCTTTCTACTCCTTGTTCTCTGTTCTCCGAGACAGGTCTTGATGCGGGTCTCGATGAAGGTCTCGAGGGCGCATTCGAAGGCTCTGGTGATGCAGATGATGAGGAGGATGGGACGATAGCGGGAGTTTGGCGTGGTTTTCGTCGTGAGGATGAGGCCTTTCCCTTGGACTTGGGTTTTTGATTGGCTTTTGGATTGTTCTTGGGATAAACCTTTCGCGTGGAGTTGGAAAGGAGTTGCGGGCTTGGTGGTGCCGAGTCACGGTCACTATTACTCTCGCTCTCGCTTTCGGTGTAGGCATATTCCTCCCGGCCATCCGCTTTCTGCTTCTTCCGGACGCGGCCTTCGGGCAGTGTTCTGAATTCTAGGTCTTCGCCAAAGAGATCTGCACATCGTTTCGAGGTGCGCATTACCACATCAGAGGGAAATCCCATTATGGATGCGAGGCCCATCACTTCACTCCAGTCACGCAATTTGAGTCTGCCCTTGAAGAAAGAGCCCTCTTCCTGATCCTGGCTTGCGAGCGTGGCACGAGACTGATCTCGTGAGCGAGGTGCATCTGGCAAGCTCTCATCATCGGTGTCTAATCTAGAGAACAATCCGGCGCTGGTGGAACGATGAGGCGTTTCTTTTTGGGAAGAGCCTCGTCGAGTGCGTTTCCTTCCACGGGATTGACTCCTGGTTGTTCTTGGAAGGCCTTCGTCGTCTGTGTCAGACGGCTGTTCATCTCCGGAAATATCTTCCAGCATACGCCCTTTCATAGAATAATGAAGCCCCATTAGAAGCCGGTCTAACTGGGTCATGACATTGCGTGCCAATGGACGCAATTTCTGGGAAGATTTGTCGTCGTCCAGTTGAACTATTGGCTCCAAAAAGGTGGTATCGATAGACTCATCATCGTCATATTCTTCCTTCTCCAAAATATCGTCCTGCATAATTTCATCTCCGTCGAGGATTTTCTTGCTGTCATTTCTGATTTCTTCATAGTCCCACTCCCGGGCCCGGAATTTCTCCTTGGCCGTCTTCGACATGGTGGCCGTGATTATTTCTTCCAGATCGGCACTCGGACGGGGATCAGGTTCCATCCGCATATTCCCAGGGTCATCCAGTTTGTCCTTGATAATATCATCAAGTCTAGGAACATGAGCAGAAGGCAAAGGCCATGCCGTCCATCGCCGAGGAATGGCAAATCTTAACTCATTATCGACGCTTGTTTTCTTCGAAGTGACCCGCGTTCGCCTGCGAATCGCGTGGGCATTGTACAGATGAGCTGCCAGATCTCTTGATCTGTTATTAAGCATGGCTTCATATGCACCGATGTCGTCTGCATTGTAGTTTCGCCATGTAGATGAGTGCCCAGTGAAGATATTTGGCCGCTTAATCCCAGACCGAAGGTCAAGACCTCGGTCTACAGTGTAGTAGTAAATCGGCTCTGCAGGCTCCGTAATTGTCGGTTGACTTGAGGCTTCTATTTGAGAAAGCCTGGATCTTCTTGGCATTGGAGCTTTCTGATCATCACCACTTCCGTGGAAACTGTCTCCATCGGAGCCATAATGCGCCTCCAACGGCCGTTCTCGCATGATCATATTGAACTCATTTTCGGATTCGTCAGCCTCCTCGTCCATAGGTTCATCCATTTTGATGGATTGTGAAAGAGCATCTTGGCTGGCTGGCTCCCCAAAGAGTAACTGTCTCGCCGGCGCTGGTGGAGAGGATGGTTGGATAACATCACTGCTGGGTCCACCAAATAGTGACTTGCGAGGCTGTGCAGATTCCGGCGGACGAAAGTCAGATCCAGGTATCTGGGATTGAGAGGACATGCCTCAGGGACGCGTTGGCTCTTGCCGTTCTATGCGCAATTGCTTGAGTTGATGTCACATAGGTGCTGATTCTTAGGGTGGTCTGTTCCACTAGGGAGGTGTATGATGTTTGGGATGGCAACCCTTTCGCTGATGCTAATGCCAGCAAGTTTCGGCTCCCCTTGTTGACAGTTTGGCTGTTCCTGGATGTTGACGATGTCAAAAATTCCAAGTGGGTGGATCCTCGATTATGGCACGTGACTGATATACAGCAATGATGTTAACGCTAACCCGAAGGGGCAATGAAAATTGCATACATGTCTGATGGCCCTCTCTGTGATTTTTTATGTTATGAATAAGTCTAGGCAAAAGCTACGATAGAAAGCAACACTGACATTTGAGTAACCTTTCAAATCTAATAACAAAATGGTCCTACGAATAGAGTATCGTTCTCAGGAGTTTACCTCGCCAGCCGAAGTACAGAGTATAGACAGTAGACATCGGTTTTTAACCACATACGTTACTGTCGCAAAGACGAAATTTTTTCTCTCCTGGCCATTCAATCCTGCTCGTCTAGGATTGGCTCCAGTGCTTGCCTATGACTTAGTATGTATTTGGGCATATTTAGCGGGCGTTGGGGAAATTTTTCTGATCGGATTTTCTTTCCCAAATGGATCTTATCGATGCATCTTTGCACATTGAGTTGGAGAGAGCAGTGGATCATGCTCCAATAGTTCAGTGCTGTGTAGGGTGTATATAAGGTCTTCATGCTTCAGACAACAGAGCTATCCCTCGTTGGACATTCTCCAACCCCGTCGAGTCTGGGGATATCAGCGAATCTTCGTATTACCAATACTCTATCTACCTTCTGAAGGGAGCTTTCCGTATCTAATTGGCCTATAATACCGGCGGTTTTGAATTAAGTCACTCCTATTGGCTAAAAGCTCCGGGTAGCGTAATTAACAAACACCAATACGAGATCTATGAAACTCGCTCTTTTCGCCGAAACGAAAATCTGCAATTCAAGACATTATTGAGCTGAAAAAGAAAAGACAAAGTGGAATTGAAGACTGCATTGCTTTCTCTAATAGAATATCGAAATTCTCAAGTAGTGGTGAGCTCTACAAGACCAAGTGTGAATGACATCAACCTCCCCGCTTTAGCATGGAGCTTCCCTTCTGAGCTCAATTGATTACAACTTACAACTCCCTCGGAACAAAGTCCGTCGGTGTTTCTCGGGCACAAAGAGCAATCACCATTGAGCTAGCAGATCTCGACACACCGGGGATTCCCCACTGCCAGATACAGCTCCCTTTAAAGGCGTCTCCAAGTCTCCAACCTCCCCGCACTCTCACAACCGACTTTCTCCGCCTGTATTACTATTCTTCCCTCCCGAGGGACTACGCTTTATAATGGACCGACTCATCCGCCCAGTCACCCGCCAGCTACTCAGACCTCGCCCCAGATATCCCTTTTCCATCCCTGGTCCTAACTACGCGAAGAGACTCTACACCATGGGACACAGCGCACCGCAGGTCAGAGCCGCAGTCCAAACCCGATCCCCAGCCTATACTGATTCATGGGGAACAGTTGAAAGACCAGTCTCTCTTCATTGAGAAGTCATACATCAATGGCGAGTGGGTGGGAGCCCAGTCCGGCAAGACCTTCGAGGTCCACGGTAAATTCCCCGCGACTCGACATTATCTGTGCTCAGGATGCTAAATCTGCTCTCCCTCCAGACCCGGCCACTGGCAAATTGATTGGAACATGCCCTGAACTCGATACCGCCGACGTTGAAAAGGCGATCCAGGCCGCCTCCGAGGCCTTCCCAAAATTCCGCACAACACTCGGCCGCGAGCGCGCGCGCATGCTGCGCAGGTGGTACCAGCTGATGATTGACAACGCAGAGGATCTGGCAAAGCTGATCACATGGGAGAACGGAAAACCCCTCGCTGACGCAAAGGGCGAGGTGAACTACGCCGCCAGCTTCTTCGAGTGGTTCAGTGAGGAGGCACCCCGCACGTACGGTGATACCATCCCGGCCTCAGTGCCCGGAAACCGCGTGATGACCGTGAGGCAGCCTGTTGGTGTGTGTGGTCTGATTACGCCGTGGAACTTCCCCGCGGCGATGATCACCCGCAAGATTGGCCCTGCCCTGGCGGCGGGTTGCACTGTTGTGGCCAAGTCTCCTCAGGAGACACCCTTCACTGCTAATGCGCTGGCTGAGCTTGCGCACCGTGCTGGAATCCCCAAGGGCGTCGTTAACATTGTCACCTCTTCTCAGAACACCCCTGCCGTGGGCGAGCTTATCACAACCCACCCAGAGGTGCGCAAGGTGTCATTCACCGGCTCGACTAACGTCGGCCGGATTTTGATGAAGCAGTCGGCCTCGACTATCAAGAAGGTCTCTTGGGAGTTGGGCGGCAATGCCCCCTTCATTGTCTTCGATGACGTCGAGGACCTCGACGCAGCCGTTGCCGGTGCCATCGCGTCCAAGTTCCGCAGCTCGGGCCAGACCTGCGTGTGCGCCAACCGCATCTACGTGCAGAAGGGTGTGTACGACGAGTTCTCCAAGCGCTTCGTGCAGAAGGTCAAGGAGTTCAAGCTCGGCGGTGGTTTCGAAGACGGCATCACCCACGGCCCGGTCATCCACGAGCGTGCCGCTAACAAGGCCCACGAGCATGTGCAGGACGCAATCTCTAAGGGCGCCCAGATTATCGTTGGTGGCCAGAAGGCTACCGCTCTCGGCCCCAACTTCTACCACCCTACTGTTCTTACCGGCATGAGCAAGGACATGCTTCTCGCCAGTGAGGAGACTTTCGGTCCTGTTGCTGGTCTCTTCCCCTTTGAGTCTGAGAAGGAGGTTGTGGATCTGGCTAACCGGGCCGAGGTCGGTCTGGCAGGTTACTTTTTCAGTGGCAATGTTCGCCGCATCTTCCGCGTTGCTGAAGCCCTGGAGGTCGGCATGGTTGGTGTTAACACTGGTCTCATCAGTGATGTTGCCTCTCCGTAAGACCCTCTCTTCTTCTATATGGTTTGCATCTTCTAACATCTTCACAGATTCGGCGGTGTCAAGCAGAGTGGCTTCGGTCGTGAGGGCAGCAAGTACGGTATTGACGAGTTCATGACGATCAAGAGTGTGACATTTGGCGGCATGGGTGAACCCCTGCAGGAGTAAACATGACATGAAGCAATAATCTACGCAACAATAAGCTATGCTAGGTATGAAAGAACATGATGCAATCTAAGACTCATCTTACACGAAGATCATCAAGCTGCCGTAGTACCTTATCCCCGAAGAGATCTACATTGTACCCGGTGTCAAGGATCAGGCTAGACTCACCTCCCAAGGCCCCGAATCAGGAAAACCCCTCCGGTATAAGCAAGTTAAACAGTGAATCTAGCATCAACCCACAGTTAACTAGGTGGTAACCTAACACTTGGGTTATTGCCCGAAGGATCCAAATACTTCCTTGGTAGCGAGGTATAGGATGATTCCGGTCATCACCAAACGATTGCAATCTAAAGGCGTTGCAAATCCGAGGTCCCGGTAATACATCGATCATCTCACATACCTCGCTCGGGAGGCTTACATTTTGTCTCTCTCATTTTTTACCTCCGTTGATGCTATCTGACTGATCTTGCATGGTATTTGTTTTCTTGTTTCGATCGAGCTTATTGTTTGGACTCGCTGCTGCTCGACGTGATCGTGATCGTGTGATGTGCATGGACCTACCTTCCCAATATGGAAGGGTATATCAACTACTTTCACAGTGATACTTTCGATGTCCCATTAGTCAGGCTGCATGGAGCTTGCTAGTAGCATCACTCATATCGAGTATGCAGACTTCATTCAACAACCGGAGATTCTGAGTCTTCTTCTCGTCGTCACATGAACGTCACATGACCATGATCCACATACCCATGGCAGAATAACCTATCCACACACCGCCCTTCGCATCCCTTCTGCTACTGGAAGATACAATAATCCAGCCATCAAATGTGAAACAACCAAATCAAGTCTCTTCTACATCTCATGTCTACTCCTGTTGCATAAAGACATGATTTGATATTGTTTCAATGCGCTCAACACCCAGGTTCCTGGCGGCTGTGTCCCGCAGCCAGCCTTCGCGGCTGAAGAAGCCTGCAGTCGGTCTAGACCATGTAAGTACAGTGCAACCTAACTAGGGTACCACAGGCATGATCCAAATCCGGATTTGGACTTGTATCCTGATATACTGATTGACTGTCCAGTTTATTCAAAGAGGAAGAGTCCTTGCTTTCTGGCGAGAAGTTGTTCGAGCTTTAAATAGTATGTTTCATTCTTGTTCTTCCACTCTTTCTTCGTTTGATTCTGTCGGGTTGGAGTGTTAATTTGCATATGCAGAAATCCCTCCATCATCGACAAGGAATGAATTGCATAATTATGCGCGTACTGAGTTTGAACGGCATCGTGAAGTGTCTGATTTGGTAGGTTGGCTATTGTCTATTCATCTGATATCTACGAGTCAGGGAATGAGAATATCGAGCTGACTTTCTTTTCTTTTTTTCCCTAGCAACATATCAGATATTTGCTTTCGGTATGGATCATCCCTTATGTCGGTCCTTTGTTGAGATTTGCTAACGATTCAAAGACAGGGAAAGCCGAGTTTGAGACTATGAGGCGGTATATCGATGAACAGGTTGCTGGTTGACTTGCTCGATATGTGCTGCTCTTTGTATATAATATGATCGAATACCAAGAAGGAATTTCACATACTTTGAGGTTCTAGGTATATTCTTATGAGAGTATTGAATTCATGGGCTTGTGGTGCGATTTAGTTGATACAGCGCGTTGATAGGCGGAATGTCTCGGCGGATCGCCATATGTACACATGGACTTGCAGAGATAACGTTATCCTGCCGAGGACTCTATGTTGCGGATGGCTAGATCAATTAACAAGCTGTTCTTCCAAGGCACGGTTCGTCTGTCATCCTTGGAATGCCAAGAGTAATGATAAAGGCGAACATTCCAACTGCAGACACCAGTGGCACGGCTCATCTAGCAATCTAAGGAGCAAAGCCAAGTGCCGGATCAAGTCTGGCTCCAGTTATCTTGGGCGATATGACCTAAGTTACATGGATAGTTTGATCATGTTCAGCTCTTACCCGATGCATACAGGGAGAGACAAATCAACTAGGCTATCAATGTACTAGTAGACTTTAAAATCCAGTAAATAAGAATCAAGCTAGAAGGAAATCAGGCCAACCTAGCGCTTGGTCCATTGCTGGATAAGATGTACAGTAGTTAGCCGGTCGGCAGAGAGAGGGGAAAGCCACCAAAATAAAGTGTTGAAAGCTAGGTAGATCCCAAGGCAAATAGACGGAAAAATATAGCGATTGGTTTCTAGTCTGTCTTGTCTGCAAGGGGCCCAGTTTTTGAAGCAGGTTTAGGCCAAGGTGTGTATTGTTAACGGAATAAGGAGCTTGAAACCCCCAATATGATGTCAGGACTAAATTATAACAGTTAGTTTCAGTTCCTTTCAAGAATCTAGACAAGATAGGAGTACCCTTCGCCACCTGTCTTCCCCACATACTCTATCCTTGTTTCTCCGTCTACTCCCGGTGGGACCTGAAGCTCCCTTGTTCCGCCATAGTGATTGGTCGGCAAAGCCGGAAACCGTTCGAACAGGTTGCAGCTGAAGCTTGCCCGGATCCTGGTTTACTCTACGTCATTGATTCTGGTCCAGACCACTTTTCTATATAGTGTTGGGTGGCCGGAAGGGAAGAGGGGGGATATTTAATAGCTCTTGAGATTTTCCACTGCTCTATCTAGTCCACCCTAATCCATACCTCTTACTACATATACCACCTGCAACCCCTCGTTGCCTAAAACCCAAAACGAACAATAAACCCCACCAACATGAGATCTGCACGACGAAACAGCTCCATCGGCCCCGATCGGGCCAAGCACCTCGAACGCAACCGCATCGCCGCCAACAAATGCCGCGAAAGAAAGAAGCGCGAACATAAACAAATTGAGCGTCGCCTCAGCGACGAAACAGAAAAGAAAGAACTCCTCCTGGCGCAGTTGAACGTCCTCAAAGAAGAAGTCTGGGATCTGAAAAACATTATCTTCCAACACGCCCAGTGCAAAGACCACCAGATCAACCTCCAACTGGCCCGAATGACCCAAACCGTCCTCGACAACCAACCTATGCAAGAATCCAGCATGTCGCCGACTTTCTCGAACGGGTCATACTCGGATGAATCGGTCGCGGTGGACGATGCGAATAATAACATGATCGACCCCGGCGCTTATCCTGGGGGTGACTGGACTGTGTTACCCAATGTCGCCGATGACCTCGTTCCATACGACGCGAACGGGACCAACGATTCGATATTTGAGAATTTTATTGATGCGGAGAATCTGTATACCTAGGGGGTAAAAATGGGGGACCCTGATACTGATAGTATGGCGTTGGTGATTTTAGCGTTGGGCTTCCTGTATACTAATTTACGAGCTGTGAGAGCTCACAAAAAACTCAATTACGCCTTCGACGACTTATTAACTACTTGACACGAATATATGAATAGCAACAATGTTTTACGCACACGGATAAGTTTTCCGAAAGATCCGCATGTTAGTGTCCTGAAGAGTCATTCTGGGGGCATACTGGAGAATTTCAAAGTCAAAGAGAAGGCGGGAAGAGCGGAAGAATGTTCCCATGACGATGAGACGTGTCTCCAGATGTGACGCCCAATAATATGATCACACAACATAGCTAGGCGGTTGAGCTGCAGAAGCCATTGACCAGATGGGGTTAGGAGACATCGCCCTAGAGGTGAATACGCATAAGGATTCCGTCCACAAAGACAAGCCTGAAAGCCGCCCGCCAATCTGAGGAGTGGCCTGAGCGGCAGAAAGGGAATAGGGCGTGAATAGGGCTTGAAGGGTGGAACATGCAAGAGCATTCGATGATCGCTAGCGTCCACGATCCACAGCCGCTGATGTCACCGCATCCCGCCAAGGTCGCCACGGCCTGACTACATCACGCGCTGGCGTCTCTTGTTAGGTACAACTACCCCATTGTTTCTATTTCCCTTGGTCCTTGGGTTCTTTCTCTTGATTTACGCTTCCATGTCGATTCTTACCTTGGGTTGTCATACTCGAGCCCTTTTTTATGAACTGATTCGCTGTCTACCTGTACTATAGGAATCCCTGCAATTATTTATTTCTTTGTATGCCAATCAGCTCAAATGATGCCTACCACTCAATTGACGCCTCCCCAAGGAGAGGGGATGGCGCAATTTTCCCAAAAACAGTAATGGGCACTATATTCGAGACTACTCAACGGTTAGACTTACCACAGCCTGTAAGAGGCATCCTTGGGCTAGGATACTAAGATTCTACGAAATAGCTACACAGACTGGAAGCCCATTGGCCTTGGCGTGTCTGGACTTGTCTGGTATTGTTCTCTTGGTTTCACGATGCGAACGGCGGGAACTGATTTCCCTATTCTTCATACAGCTCCGCAAGGGACCAGATACGTCATCAGACTGTCGCCGTGAAGAAGCTCGCAGAACCATTCAAGACAGAGCATATCGCAAGACATATGTTTCGAGAAATCAAATTGCTGAGACAATTGCATCATGAAAACGTGAGTGCTTGGAGCCTACTATTGGAGCGGTTCTAATCGAGGACCAGATTATCAACCTTACCGACATCTTCATTTCACCATCTGAAGACATGTACGAAGCTCCCGCTGCATAGGTGCATCGACAGTTTATACTAACCATACTAGATATCTCGTCACAGAGTTAATGGCAACGGACCTCAACACAATATTGAAAGCCAAAAAGGTCGAAGACCAATTCGCGCAATACTTCATGTACCAGATAATGGTTGGTGACCAAAAATTGCATTAATGGAATCTAGACGCTAATAACCGATGTTTCAGCGCGGCCTAAAATACCTCCATTCAGCGGGCGTCGTCCACCGAGATCTGAAACCAAGCAACATCCTGATAAATGAGAACTGCGACCTGAAAATATGTGATTTCGGCCTTGCCCGAGTCCAAGAACACAATATGACCGGCTACGTTTCGACGAGATACTACCGCGCACCGGAAATCATGCTTACATGGCGGAAATATAACGAAAAAGTTGATATCTGGAGTGCCGGCTGCATCTTTGCCGAGTTACTTATGGGAGAGCCTCTATTCCCTGGGAAGAATCATATAAATCAGTTTTGTGTTATTACCGATTTGCTTGGGAGTCCACCTGAAGAGGTGATTGCCAATATTACAAGTGAAAATGTGAGTCGGCCTGTTCCTTGCTACAGAGGTCATGCTCGAAGGGAGAACTTTACTAATATCTCTTCCCAGACGTTGAACTTCATCAAATCTCTACCGAAACGAGAACGCAAGCCGATGTCGCAACTCATACCCAAGGCGAACCCAGATGGTACGTCAACTCTCCCTATATTTCGCCTGTAATCGAGGACCCAAAATGCTAACTCATCCAATCTAGCCGTCGCCTTAATCGACAAAATGCTCCAATTCGACCCGAATATACGCATAACAGCCGTCCAAGCCGTCGAATCCCCATATCTCTCACCATACCACGACCCAAACGACGAACCCGTTGCAACAGAAACATTCGACTGGTCGTTTCTCGAAGCAAACCTCCCAGCTGATATTTGGAAGACTATCATGTGAGTCCCGAAATATGGCTAATCACTCCTTTCTACCTACCGGCCAGCCTATTGATCATAATATATTTGCTAGGTATGGCGAGGTCTTAGGATTCCATGAACAAATGACTGAGAGTGGACAGAGCGGTCCGATGAAAACGACAAGTCAATTGGATGGGATGGACCTCGGATGATGGTGATTGTATATCATTATTTTGCATTTTTTGATGTTTGCTTTTTACCTTTTTTAATGAGTTGTGGTCTTAGGATTTGGATACCATTCGGGTTATGACTTGTTAGAATTTCTTTTTTTTTGTTTAGCGACATGATTTAGCTGGTTGTTTTGGCTTTGTGAAATTAACACTTGTTTGTTAAATACTTACGGTGCAATGTATCGGATCTATATTTTACGCTTCACTATATTTCTTGATATGGTGAAAGACGCTGTTGTACATGCGTTAAGAGGTAATGCGTGAAATGTGTAGAGGTGAAGACGCGAGAGTGAAATGCTCTAGAGATGCAGCTTTATTTGACATCGTAAAATCGCGAAGACGTGAAGACGTGAAGACGTGGGATGTGGATACCTATGACATAAGATATAAAGATGTGAAGATTAAAGCTATGAAGGTAAAGGAGATGAAGACATAAAATTACTTCTAAAAACGCGACTCTGCATTTCAAATCTGGTGAATAGCCATGAAATTTCTGCTCAGGTTTATCCATTCTTGAAATTAGCATAACTGAAAGATTAGAAGGAATGCTAAGTTTTCATATAAACATTAGGTGGATACATGACCAGATCATCTCCGGCATTATTAGTCCCTATATAAAAGGGAATTAAACAACAGAAGTAAAAATAACAGCATAGCCCATATGTACGACAAGGTCTATGTTCATCAAACCGACCCGGGATATCGTTGCAACCAAAAAGTTAAACCCAAAACGCGCAAGTTCATAACAGCCAGGGCCTCATGATTCAAAACTCAAGACGTTCAGTGCCGTTGGCAAATAACAACCATATTAAACAGCCGAATCACCATTAACAGTCGAAGTCTCCGGCGCCGGAGTCGCTCCCTCATGATGGTCCTTCGCATTACGGCGCGAGTTCACGAGGTCAAGGATAGCGAAGGTATTCGTAACAGCGAATGTAGCCCTATAACCATAACGTCAGACACTTCATCCCCTGAGAAATCAACAACCCCGAAGATAGGGATAATAATCTTACCATTGCACAGCAGCAACCACAATCAAAGCCTGCAGGGCATGGCAGCTAGCCCACTTGCACACACCGGGTGAGGGGATCATAGCAGCCAACGCAATCCAGCCACTGAGCCAGAGACCGCCGGTCAAGATTTCAACGAGGGGAATGACGATCTCGTGTGAGATACGGGGGAAGGCGAGTGGCGCGAGACCTAGGTAGGGGACCGCGATTGCTGTTGTCCAGCAGCCGTTGAAGAGCATATAGTAGACGACGTTTGAGAAGGACCATTCATCGTAGAGGGAGGCGATGACTGGGTTTCGTCAGGTGTTGCTTCTTTGGTAGTTATTATATATGGATGGACGTACCATATGCGCTCAGGCCGATTGTTGCTAGGGACAGAATGACCTGGATGATTCGTAGTGGATAGACCCAGGATAGCATTTTGGTGGCTTTGGACAGATGATTTTTGGTTATATAGTCGAGGGTATTGGGCCTTTTTGGCAGATTCTTGGTGTTAAAAGTTCAAAAACGGGAAGAGCTACACTATTAGGGGATTGACATGGCCTTTTATACTGGTGAGAGACGGCCCACAAGGCCACTAGTTAAGTGTCCCACACGTCATGGCCGGGAAGAAACATGCAGGAAATGATCAGAAGCAGACGGATTAGCGGAGCCTGGAATCCGGTGCAGTGCAAAGTCTAATGCAGGTTCTTTCAATAGACTCTGAATGTGAGGCTGTCCGAATTAGGGCTTGATCAACTTCCCCGCCTTATACATGTATACGCCTGACCATATCAGCTTCCCTTTTCACGCATTCCTTTCGTCTGTGAAGAGTTCAATGCCCACTCAGTAGAAAATATCACGCCAACATCACACCCATCTTACACGGCAAATCCGATCCGACTCGGAATCAGATGTTGGGTTGCCGCTAGACGGTCGATCTCACATGAAGACCTCGGCCGAACCAAAACTTCGGCGCTGATCACACCAGAGTCCTACTTTTTCTGGACCTGAAAGGATTTCCTGCCAAGGAGATGGTTTACATTTGTATACTAGTTCGAGCTTGTTTGGCATGGATCAATTTCCAACCTCGGCTCGTCGATCTTCGGATTCGCCGTCATTGGCGACGTGCAGATAACAGGGTAGCTAACCGGATACTAATGCTTACATCCAAGAACAGGCACATGCCCAGATACAACAATTACAGTGATGACCCATCCATGCAAATTAGTCGGAAGATCCACACGAACGGAGAATTTCGATGCATATATACAAAACAAGGAAAAAAGCCAATATACTCCCTACCTATCATACAAATCAATATCCCACCCATCATTTCCCAACAAGAGCCCGGACAGCATCAAGCACACCAACAGTCTTCTGATCCGCAGGCTCAATCGCCGACCGCGCCGCATCAGGCCCATCACGCGACGCATGCTTACCAGCCTCCTTAGCCGCAGCTTCAATAGCAGCATGACGCTCCCTCCACGCGCGATCCTCCTTATCACGAACCTCCAGCTCGTGTAACCAGGCATCACGCTTCTCTTGCTTCTTGCGGTCTTCCACGGCCTTTTCGAATTCTCGACGCTGCTGGCGCTCTGATTTGAAGTACATTCCTCCGGCGACGAGGGCGACTAGTGTGAAGGCTTGCGCGTAAATACGGGCGCGGAACATGCGGTTCATTTCGACTGAGTCACCGGATTTCATGGAGCGGTAGGCGCGGTAAAGGGCGTAGCATGTTGCCGCACATCCTGTAGTGAGGGGTGTGTTAGTGACTTGTCGGAGCTTGGTGGGGGATCGTAGTATTGGGTTTTAGGGCGTTGTATACCTAGTGGGACGAGGGGTTCTTCTTTGAGACGGCGGGTGAATTTCTGGACACCGGTTTCTTCTGTGAATTGGCTATTGGGGGTGGTGTTAGCTGATTATTCTTGCCCTTGGTATTCCCCGTGGCATTGGTGGATGTGGCTTGGGGACGACGGCGGATTGGTATGGAACATACAAGTTATCGTCAAAAGACGAGGGCACGGGCTCGCGACTCATGGTGTATGGTTTGGAGTGGTTCGGGGAGTTGTGCGGAGTCAAATCGCGTTCTCGGGATGCGGAGTTTTCCAAGTCGGGGGTCCGAGTTTGAAGTCGGAGGGCGACTGTATTCCAAAACACGGCCTTCGGTAATTGATTAGAGTGCTCGAGATTGTGCTGAAGTTGACAGATGGTTGTAGGTGGCAGAGTGTCAATGACATGACTCTAATGACATAAGTTTTCGAGTATCGGGTTATGTAACTTAATGCACTCGCAGAGCAATATACTTACTTGGTCCATAAGTTAACGAAGTTTCTACTCACGTATTTGTTAGGTTAGTCTAAACAGAGAAAGCTATCCAATTCCTATAACAGCCCAAAACAAATACAGTACATCAATTGGATCGGCCCTATATGTGCTGTCTTGTGTTGACCGCCATCTGGGCACTGTGCCAGTATACCTATTCTTCGTTCACGCAGCCATGGAAGAAGCAAAGAAGCTGCAGTTGAACCAATAGAGCAAATGTGTCTATTCAACTCATCCAATCCAGATTAAACAGCCAATTTCCCACATACAAATCTCAGCAGGCCAATATTTAGGGCTTCCACTGAGGCTTACATAACATCTCCGATCACGGTCCGCCTCTTCAGAAAAAAGAGTCATGTTGAGAAATTTCCGACTTTACAATTTCTCGTGATTTCTCATATTCAATTTCGGCTGGAATTGTCTAAACTCGTCATGGCTGACGACACTTCCACTGGTGTTGCGACTCCGGTCACTCCCAAGATGAGTGGCCTGGCTTTCACTGAATATACCACCACTGTGACACCCCCGAACGAACACTCGCAAAGAGTTCCCGGCGTACCTCCCAACTGGGGCATCCCGGAGGCTTTTCTGTTGCCCAATGGCTACCCAGATGTAAGCTATAGCTTGTCCCTTGTCCCTTACTCTCTGCTGGCTTTTGCATTCTAACTTTTTGACCCCGCGATCTAGTATCTCCGGTTGATTTTGACGTCACGAGTTTACGATGTTATTGAGGAGACCCCTCTCACTCATGCGGTCAACATGAGCAACCGGCTGGAAAGCCGGGTCCTTCTCAAACGAGAGGATCTACTCCCCGTGTTCAGCTTCAAGCTCCGCGGCGCATACAACAAGATGGCTCATTTGAACGATGAGCAGCGGTGGAAGGGTGTTATTGCTTGCTCTGCAGGTTAGTATATATCCAGTCGATAGGTCTTGTCAATGGACATGTACTGACTCGCTTCTAGGAAACCATGCGCAGGGCGTTGCGTTTTCTGCCCGCAAGCTAAGAATCCCCGCTACTATTGTCATGCCCTCCGGCACCCCCGCCATTAAACACTTGAACGTTGCCCGCATGGGAGGAAGTGTCGTTCTGCACGGAAACGACTTTGATGCCGCCAAGGATGAGGCTCACCGGTTGGAGAAGCAGCACGGTCTGACTAACATCCCGCCATTCGATGACCCCTATGTCATTGCTGGTCAAGGTACTATCGGCATGGAGCTTCTGCGCCAAGCAAACCTGGATAAGCTGGAAGCTGTCTTCTGTGCTGTCGGTGGAGGTGGTCTCATTGCTGGCATTGGTGTCTATCTCAAGCGCATCGCTCCCCAGGTCAAGGTTATCGGTGTCGAGGCTCATGATGCTAACGCCATGGCTCGGTCCCTGGATTCCGGTAACCGTGTTTTCCTCAAGGAGGTCGGACTCTTTGCAGACGGTGCCGCTGTCAAATGTGTTGGCGAGGAGACCTGGCGTATCAGCCGCGAGGTCATCGACGATGTAATCCAGGTGACTACCGATGAGACTTGCGCAGCCATCAAGGACGCCTTCGAGGATACTCGCTCTATCGTTGAGCCTGCCGGTGCTCTCGCCATTGCCGGTCTTAAGAAATACATTGCGAAGAACCCCAGCCCTGACGCAAACCGCGAACTGATTGCCATTACATCGGGTGCGAACATGGACTTTGACCGTCTCCGCTTCGTTGCTGAGCGCGCTGCCCTTGGAGAGAAGAAGGAGGCACTCCTGAGCGTCAAGATCCCCGAGACTCCCGGTGCGTTCGCCAAGCTTGTTGAGGTTGTTCTGCCCCATGCTGTGACGGCCTTCAACTACCGCTATGCCCGTGAAGACTCGGCCGATGTGCTGATGGGTATCTCCCTTTCTGCCTCCACTGGCCGCAACGACCTGGCCAAGATCATGGAGGAGCTGGAGAGAGGCGGCATGAGCTGCCGTGACCTCAGTGACGACGAGCTTGCCAAGCGTCACCTGCGCTTCCTTGTCGGCGGCCGCTCTGAAGTCACCTATGAGCGCATCTTCATGTTCGAGTTCCCCGAGCGCCCAGGTGCTCTGGCCAAGTTCCTTCGTACCCTCCGCCCCAACCAAAACATCTCTCTGTTCCACTACCGCAACTATGGCGGCGATGTTGGCAAGGTCCTTGCTGGTATCCAGTGCCCTCCTTCCGAGAAGGATGACCTCGAGCACTTCCTCCACGAGCTGGGTTATCCCTTTAGCGAGCAGACCGACTCCCCTACCTATAAGACCTTCTTGCGTGCTCAATAAGCTCATTATAACTTGGAGTGTCCTAAAAGTGTGCAATGTGGATAACGAGAACATGCATGTGCATACGTTCTTATTGGTTTAAGCGGATTCGAGGTCCATCTAGTTTGGCGTTTGGTATATACGATAGACCCTCTGTATCATAGGTCACATTGTCTTCCGGTTTTTACATTTATTGCAGACTTACAATTATCGAAAATATGTCTATTCTCTTATGAAACTCATGAAATAATCCCCAATAGCCAAACGCTTATTCTTCTTATGTGCTGGCATACTTGTAGTTGAGCCCCACCAATCACAGCGCACGTCTCGGCCGATCGGCAATACAGAACCTCCGGCCAACCTTTGCGATCACGGCAAGAACCTTCGGCGCCAAAACATCGATATTCGCCCCATTTCAATACCTCCTGTTCTTCCTAGGAGAATTGAGGCAACATATCCAATTACTCGCCTCTTCCGGACATTCCCAAACCCGCCGCCATGTTCTCCCTCCGCACTGTCATCGGTGCCTCCTCCGGTGCCCTCCGCCAAATCCTCCCCTCTGTCTCCTACAGAACCGCTTCATTACGACCATTCTCGCACATGATCCGGAATGGCTTGACGAAACTTCGCGGACAAGCACAGACTAGCAATGCCGTTGCTGTGGGGGTTGCGTCTGCTCGTCAGATTGAGCAGGTTCGCGGGATGAAGACTCGTTCCTCTGTTAAGAGACTTTGTGATGGTTGCAAGGTATGAAATGAGTCTGCGCGTTATGTCGTTCTGCATTGATTAGGAGCGGAATTGTTGGAACTGGATTGACAGGTGCTAACTGCATCCAATAGCCCGTCCATCGTAAAGGTCGTGTCTACATCATTTGGTGAGTGCTTACCCTGCGCCATTGGACACTCCGTTTGGAACTACTGGGATCTAATACATCATTCTCTCTTCTAGCTCGAAGAACCCCAAGCACAAGCAACGGCAAGGAAAATAGATCAATTTCCTTATTGCGTTTTCCCCAATACCATGCATCGCCTTCTCCTTCCGCCGGTGCCCTTACTCGACTACTCTGAGACATTCGCAAAACAATAGAGCATTCAGACAGACTCTTCATGAGTAGATCGTCTTCTAGATGCATATATACACGGTTTGTCGCCTCGGAACTTGGGATCGGCGGCATGCTCTTGCATTCTTGTTTCAAAACCAGACAGTGGTTGGATATCACGGCGCCTTTGTCTTTTCTTGTATATTATTGTTAAATTCAGGAATATCGGATCCTCATGCTCCATTTCGAATCAAATGATCTCCAGTCTAGGCACCCGTGACTTTTTAGCCTTTTATATCCCTTGTGATGTGCCGATTTACTCCATTGTAAGGCGTCATTGTATGAAACTGCTTGTATAAACCTGAAAGTCATTTCCAGTCCTAATAGCTCTGTTTATACTCCATACTCTCTACAATAATCTATCGACTCTGATGGGCCGGTGTAAATAGTCACGTGACACGTTCCTGGCTTCCCCGAACTTTTTTTCGGGGAGACAACAGAATATTCAATCCGCGTTGTCCATATCAATTCCGGTGTGAGCGGATCATCAAGATGCGGTCTCCTTCTCTTGCACGGTTACAATCCCGTGCGGTGTCTGGCTTGACCAGATCGGCCCGTTTCCAGCCTCAGACTCTCCTGCGCCAGCGATGCGCTTCCACAGCCGCATTACGGTCCGCCGCTGTCGCGCCGGCTTATCAGTCGAAGTTGGGACAATGGGACCAACGACGCAATGCGTCTGCTGCTGCGTCTGCAGTGTGAGTCTATATGTTTAGCATCCTATTGCCGCTTCTAACGTTTTTGTAGTCTCGAGGCTGCTAAGGCCAACCCGGATGGCCTGTCCCAAGCCGCCATTATTGACAACCTTGATCCGGTCGAGGCCGCTCGTCTTGACAAGTGCCGTAACATCGGTATTGCGGTACATCATACCCCAATTGCCCCTAAATCGCTACTGGATCGTGTCTAATGAAACGTATTTGCGCAGGCCCATATCGACAGCGGCAAGACCACCTGTACCGAGCGAGTCCTTTTCTATACCGGTCGTATCAAGGCTATCCACGAGGTCCGCGGGCGTGACAGCGTCGGTGCCAAGATGGATTCCATGGATCTGGAGCGTGAGAAGGGTATCACCATTCAGTCCGCCGCTACTTTCTGTGACTGGGTCAAGAAGGATAAGGAGGGCGTTAACCACAAGTACCACCTCAACCTAATCGATACCCCCGGCCATATTGATTTCACCATCGAGGTCGAGAGAGCGCTGCGCGTTCTGGACGGTGCCGTCATGATTCTGTGTGCTGTCTCCGGTGTCCAGTCCCAAACGATTACCGTCGATCGCCAGATGCGCCGCTACAACGTTCCCCGTATTTCTTTCGTCAACAAGATGGACCGCATGGGTGCCAACCCCTTCAAGGCGGTTGATCAGATCAACACTAAGCTCAAGATGCCTGCTGCTGCCGTTCAGGTTCCCATTGGTACCGAGGACGAATTCGAGGGTGTCGTGGATCTGATCCGCATGAAGGCTCTTTACAACGTTGGTTCCAGCGGTGAGGAGATCATGGAGAAGGACGAAATCCCCGAGAAGGTCAAGGCTTTGGCCGAGGAACGCCGCAGTATGCTCATCGAGACTCTAGCCGATGTCGACGATGAGATTGCTGAAATGTTCTTGGACGAGGTCACTCCCAGCGAGGATCAGATCAGAGCTGCTATCCGTCGCTCTACCATTGGACTGAAGTTCACTCCTGTCTTCATGGGTTCCGCTCTCGCCAACAAGTCTGTTCAGCCTATGCTGGACGGTGTTATCGATTTCCTTCCCAACCCTTCGGAGGTCGAGAACTTGGCTCTTGACCAGAAGCGTGACGAAGCCTCCGTCAAGCTTGTCCCCTACAACTCACTTCCCTTCGTCGGTCTCGCCTTCAAGCTGGAAGAGAGCAACTTCGGTCAATTGACCTACATCCGTGTGTACCAGGGTACTCTCCGCAAGGGTTCCAACGTTTTCAACGCCCGTAACAACAAGAAGGTCAAGGTTCCCCGTATCGTTCGCATGCATTCCAACGAGATGGAGGAAGTCAGCGAGATCGGTGCTGGTGAGATCTGTGCCGTGTTCGGCATTGAGTGTGCTTCCGGTGATACCTTCACCGACGGACAGCTCGGCTACAGCATGTCGTCCATGTTCGTCCCCGAGCCCGTCATCTCGCTCTCCATCAAGCCCAAGCAGAGCAAGGATGCCGCCAACTTCTCCAAGGCGATGGCCCGTTTCCAGCGGGAGGACCCTACTTTCCGCGTGACCTACGACAGCGAGAGTGACCAGACCATTATCTCCGGTATGGGTGAACTCCACCTGGACATCTACGTCGAGCGTATGCGCCGCGAGTACCGCGTCGACTGCGAGACTGGCCAGCCCCAGGTCGCCTACCGTGAGACTATCGGCCACCGCGTTGAGTTCGACCACCTGCTCAAGAAGCAGTCCGGTGGACCCGGTGAATACGCCCGTGTCATGGGATGGATGGAGCCCACTGGTGCTCTCGAGGAGAACAAGTTCGAGCAGCAAGTCGTCGGAGGTTCCATTTCCGAGAAGTTCCTGTACGCTTGTGAGAAGGGATTCAACCTCTCTTGTGACAAGGGTCCTCTCATCGGACACAAGGTACTTGGCACTCGCATGGTCATCAACGACGGTGCCACTCACATGACTGATTCCTCCGAAATGTCCTTCAAGAACGCCACCCAGCAGGCGTTCCGCAAGGCTTTCGCTGAGTCTCAGCCCTCCGTCCTGGAGCCTCTCATGAAGACGGTTGTTACCGCCCCTACCGAGTTCCAGGGTGATGTTATCGGTCTGCTGAACAAGCGTGGTGCCACCATTAACGACACCGAGACTGGTGTTGACGAGTTCACTATCTACGCTGACTGCAGTCTGAACGGCATGTTCGGCTTCAGTACTAACCTGCGCGCTGCCACCCAGGGCAAGGGTGAATACACCATGGAGTTCAGCCACTACGAGAAGGCTCCTCCTCAGATGCAGTATGTTTTACTTCCAACCATATCCTATTGACATATTTTCAATACTAACTGATTTCTCTCCCTTCTAGGAAGGAACTCATCGCCAAGTATCTGAAGGCCCAGGCCGACAGACACAAGAAATAAACGACAAACTAACATGTAATATTCCTCCGACCCTCCCCCTCTACAAATTTCAATCCAATCCAGGCAGCGCCTGGCATTGGATCTTGTTGGATAGCTGCTTCTTTTCTCCCTCTCCAAAACCCCTCTGTACTATTTATGGCATGGCACTATATCACTTTGTGCATTTCTGGACCTGTATTTCAAGATTAAAGACTACTTTCTACTCTCCTGTCTGAACAATAGATCATTGTTTTATATTTTGGTTTTTTGTGGCTTGCTTTTGCAAGTATTGCATATTTTGATGGTCAACTCCTGCTTTGTGCAGACTTTGCTCTATACACCTCCGTCATATTGGATCATATGACATGTTTGGTATTTCAATTCATTGTATCTCCTGACTGGAGAATATGCTATACATTAAAACATTGCAAATGATTCGCTAATGTGTCAAACAAAAAAGTCTTTCTGAGGTCATACATAGATTTCCTATGTTAGTTATAAATCTTGAGGGCTTAAATTTGAATCACCACCAATCTATGAATAGTTGGAGTTACACGCAACGTATTTGTGCTTGAATAGAAAGGGCTATGGATATCAAATAATAAATTTGTTTATTGATGAAATAACTGTATAGCAAACGTTTTCAATGGAACACTGATAATCAAATTGATAGGGCCAATCCAGACAACAGATGATACCAACAAAGAGCCCATAACGAAGGGAAGACGATGCTGCAAAGATTAGTATAAAGAATGAAACTGAGGCTCACTGCATGGAAATAGTCAAGTGTATTCACTTTTTCTCCCCTTTCAAGTATTCCTTGCGAAGATGATCCTTACCTGCCTGCCTTCTGAATCCAGCGGGAGAAAGACAGCTACGAATTTTGCGGTATAAGAAGGATCCCGAAATGGGCTTGGAGGGCTTCTTTGATGGAGATGCGTCGGAACGGTCATCTGCCTGCACAATGTCAGCTTTAAATCCCTCAATAAGAGGGAGCCGGGTCACCTGCGGCTTTCGCTCCTTTCCCTTTCCCTGCTGGAAAATTGTGGGAGAGTACATAACAGACGATGTAATAGGGTATTCAAAATCATCGTCAAAGTCAGTCTGTGTCGAGGCAGACTTCATCCCAGCAGGAATCTCCGTCGGTAGACTCAGGTCATCTTCGGAGGCACTACTGGGCACTTGGGTACTCCGGGATGTCATTAGAACGATTTTGGGGATCGGGTATCTCGAACGGAAATCCTTCTCCTCGGGTGTGTCTCCTGGCTGCTCCAGGAGCCGTACAATCTTCTCGTCAGTCAGCTCATCAGTGTCCAAAAAGGGGATTCTGACACCATCGAATAGAGATGGACGCTCACCTACGCTAGCGGAAGATCCTTCCTGCGAAGCTGTCTCCGACTCTTCCTCTACATGGCCCATAGGTGAGTCAATAATACATTCATCATCATACATGATCAGCTGGCTCGACATTGAATCGCCGCAATGCGCGTTTGTGACATTCCAAGCGATGTCGAAGTTTGAAAAGCTTTCGTCCACCATTTTGGTCAGCATGTTATCGAGATGAATATCGAAGTCGTATAGGACGTAGATGAGAAAGACGCCGATTGCATCACCAGGGACTTTGTGTTTAACCCACAGGACTATCATGTCCTTGAGATGCTCAATGGTTTCTTCATCCCAGACAATCATTTCCGTGCCGTTAATGACACCGACAATAACCTCTTGAGGTTGGTCGTACAGGAAGGATGCAATTAATGCTGAAAGATTCCATCGCACTCTGGGGCTCTGGCGGCTGAAGTCTGGCGGGCCACGCCTCTCGGGCTCTGGTTCATCGGCGATGAGCTGACTAGGCTCGTATACGGACGGTCCTGGGGCGCGAGAGGTGGATTGGGATTCATCCATGAATCTGACTTTCTTACCTGAAGAGGCCATGGTCTTGTTTTTTTGTGTTTTGTTTTGTTTTGTTTTGTTTTGTTTTGTTTCGAAGTCAGGGCTGTGGTAGGGCTGTGGTAATTCAATTGATAGTTTGCTTGTAGGGGTATTGTCTGCTTGTGGAAAATATAATGAGTAGTTGAAGAGGCTAATGTCTGCATTCATCCAAGTACTTATACTTTGGAGATTTCCACTATACGTTCATATCCAATGTTCATCTAAGGAGGATACAAAAGGAGCAAAGAACGAGGTTCAGGTTCTTTCAAGTCTTTCAAGTCTAACAATGCATTGTTACTTTCTCTTTCAGTAAAAATTTCTTTCTCTGGATATTCTACTCTAATTGTTGACACCGGCTTAGCGTGTCGATATTGTTTCCCACCTAGACAAAGAGCTTTATACGATCTACTTCTGATGAAAAGCCGTGTACGCATCTTCAAAAATACTAAGAACATCGATCTAGTCGCTTTAATTTCACCAAGCTAAGACTGCAGCACATAAACGAAGTTTTCGATGTCTTTGGTTTATGTTATTCTCTTATGATCTGGTGTTTGAGTAGGAAGGGCAAATGCATTTGTACTTAGAGCATGTATTGACACCTAGAGATGACTACTTACCCTTTGCTTCATCTATAGCAAACACTGACGGAAGGCTTTCCTGCAAACATTGCAAAATCTATGCAATAGAATTCTATAAGACCGGTGGTATGAAATGAGTAAGCTACAAGGGCTGCTATAATACTACTGTTTCTATAAGGAAATTAGACTAGCGTATTCAAGCATCTTTATAGTTTCGGTGGAACCGTTAACCGGTCTCAAACATCTATTGGCTGCCATTACTCACCCTCTCTTCGAAGTTTGATGTGATTTATTTGTCTACTCAGCTTTGGCGATAGCCCTAAAATCTACATTAACTACACAAAACTTTTAACAATGTTTACACTTGCGTTTTTACGTGAACCATCATCTTTTTGTGTGCAATGGAATCATTAATTCGAAAATAAAGAAAAGATATAAAACTTTTATCATGAAGCATATTCGATCAAAGAACGCATTGTCTGGAAATATCTTGTCATTATACCTGCGGAAAAAAATGTGAAAGGCTTTATCTGTATTATGAGTAGCTCATTATCGAATAGGACCTTTTACAGTCCCTTACATATCTCAATGCTATTGTTCTTCTGGTATTGAAAGAAAAGGAATAAGAGACATAGTTCAAATTCCCACGCATTGAGTTACAGATACAGCGCTGAAGTATGTACATCCAAGAAAAATCAATGTATGAGAGGAGTCAGTAGAAAAGATGCAACGCTCGATTAAATAACCTAGGGTGGAATCACAAGAAGAATGCGAGCCTAATGAGGCACGATGGGTATATACGCGCCAATAGGCAACGAAGCTGAAACAAATAATATGAAACGAAAAGTCCCAGAAGAATAGAGACAACAAAAAAGAAAAGAAGAAAGAATATTGTCTGTCGTGGTCGTTGCTCAAAGCCACAAGATCCATCGTACACCTGAGAATGCACCCCGGAATACTCCGCGCGCAAGCTTGAATACCATGACAATCAGCCACACCCACCAGAGCATAGCGACTAGGGCCCATTCCAAGACCATGAAGCCCGTTCGTCGGATCCAGCGTAGCCGACGGCGTCGCTTACGAATACCCATATCTAGGGCATCGCTGAGCTGCTTCACGGCGAGTGTACTCGTGGTATTAAGCTGGACGCACATATCCTCAGCATCGTTTGCTGTGGATCGGACGCGGGGAGTCAAGGATTGGTTGACCAGGTTTTCCAGGTTCTTGAGTTGATCACGAAGAGGCGAAGACGTAGTCGTAGAGAAGTGATGCATAGACTGCTGGAATGAGTACTGGGTGTTTTCGAAACGCTGCAGAATGTTCTGGGCTGCTAGATCGAATTCACCCATCCGCGTGACTCTCGGAACGGCTGTAGATGACAGTGCAGTAGGGCCCAGGGAAGCCTGAAGCCAGTGCGGGGCTGGTTCGCGGACTGCATGGGCTCGGCGAGTGATTTCTCGGGCTTTAATGCCGGACGATAGCAAGAGGGCTCGTGTGCGCTCAACTTCGGGCTTTCCAGGCACGCCTGTGTCGTTCAAGGTGCGCAGGCTTCGCCCAGAGATGCTCCAGGCACGACTAGAGCCTGAAAATCCTGCGCGTCTCCCATCTGGAGAGAGCCCTGGGGATGCACGGACATTAGCGAGGCCAGTGACAGGAGGCCGTGTTAGACTGAAAGGTATAGATGGGTCATTAATCGCGTGTTTGGTCCGTTCAGTGTGTAGAGAAGGGGCGAAATCCAGAGTTTTACTGCGTGGCAGAGCAAAATTCTTGGGGGACTCATTGGTGTCTTGTTTTCGTGGAGAGGTCACCCGTTCACGAGGACTGCCAAAGTCGGTAGCTTCTGGGGCCTGGCTTCGTCCATTTTGTCGCAACGGAGATGTGAAACTTGGCAGAGAGGGAATGAAGCTTCGGGATGAGAGTTTCTCAGACTCCTTACGAGGCAAACGCCCAGGCTCATCGGCAAATGTTGGCAGACGCTGCAACAGTCCTTTGGAGCCGGACTTCTTATCCCCTCTACTCTCGTCATCGGAATCGCTATCGTCCGAGACAAATGTAGTTGCGGATGATGATTTCCGTGAATCAGGGTCTGTCTCTTTCTTCAAGATAAGGTCGCCAACCTTAGAAACTTCATTGCCCACGAGCTCTGCTATCCGACCTGGTCCTTTGAAGATTCCTCGAAGTTTTGATTCAGGAAGATGGGCTCCCTTGCGGGACTTGTTTCCATCCATCCTACTCCCTTCAGACGCGCCTTGATCCTCTGTATAAGATGATGACACGACATCTGGGAAGGGACTTGGCTCAAGCCTCGGGGCACCTTCCACGCGCTCAGGAGATGTCACACTGTGCTGACGTGAAGCTTCGCTTTCAAGGAATTCATCTTCGCGCAGGGGGTCTCGTTGCTTGCTCTTGCTGCGTTCGTGGCGGGAGACAATCTTGTGACGAAGACCCTTCTTTGCCGGTGAGGGAGATCGACTCGAAGGAGGGGATAGATTGACTGCGATGCTCGGGAAATATCCAGCGTGCACAGGGGAGTTAGGTGCAGTGCTATCCATCCCTTCCAGAGACATTCGGGGATCGACTCGATCATCGAAACTGCCTGCTGATGAAAATGACCCCATTCTGTGCTTTCGTTCCTGCTTTGTATTGAGCGGCAATGACTCAGAAGGCTGAGGTGTTCTTCCCCGATCAATGTCGGCAGGTTGAGCAGCAGGTGATTTAGCACGGGATACTCGAGATGAAGATAAGTTCCGTGTAGATTTATCCACCAATTTGTGGACGTGGTCTCGAAGATATTCACGAGATATGCGAGGCTTTTCATCAATGGAACGGTTCGAATCCGAGCTCGTCGAGCTCGAGACACTGCCAGAACGCATCTTAACTTTATCCCACCGCGAAGGTTTCCGTACGCTAGAGGCACTGCGGCTGCGCAAGCTGTGTCTATGCCGTCCACGACCGACGCTTTTGAATTCATGGGCCAATGCAGGATGTGCACTAGACATTGAGGTACGAGGTGACGAGTGTGCATCTCCGGGCTCCTCCACATCAACAGAAGTACGTGGTTTGTGTGCGGCCTGGTCAGTGTGAGAGTTCATGATGACCAGCTGTGTCGAGTCAGGGTATAGTTTATAGCCATTCTTGTCGACCACCTTGGTCTTATTGGTACCATCTTCAAGCCAAGCAGCATCGGCCAAAAGCTCTGCGGGCGAAATCTTCCAATCAATGCGTGGCCGACGAGCTTTCATGCTGCTAGTTCGACTGACACGTCGCAGGCTAGATGGAGGAGATGTAGCCACCATATCTATATCATCCTGGTCTCCATGCTGTACATGGCGGTGACCCTGCTGAAAAGGAGGCAACCTCAGAGATTCTAGTTGGTCATGCTGCCTTGAGCTGTATTTTTGCTCAACATTGCTGATCCATTGATGAACTCTTTCCACGTCGTGCCATCCTTCTGCGTCCGCATCAATAGAGCACCTTTCACGATATCTGACCTTGCGATTCCGAATCATTTGAAGTGGGTTGTAGTCTCGGTGGAGTTGCCTGGTTCTTGAATACTCTATCTGGCTATCTTCGATAGCCCGGCGAAGAGGTGGCAGCAAAGGGAGGAGCCGTACATATTCGTGGAATAAGTCAAAATGAGTACGAGCTCTCTCAGCACGGGCCAGGGTGCTTTCGGAAAACTCATATGCTCGGTGGTCATCAACCGCAGACGGAGGTAGCAAATTCACAACAGAAGACTGTTCAACACTGGGTAGCGTCCCTTGTGACAGACTGTCGCCGGGAGACTGAGTGTAATTGCGAAATGCCGAGTCACGATGGAAGTTTCGTGCATATGGAGACTGCCCATAGCTATCTCCTTGCGGGACGGCAGGTTGAGATACGGATATCGGCCTTCGGCCTCCTGCCCCTGGCGGTATACCAGTGGCTGTTCTCCTCCTAGACTCATTCAAGTCCAAAGCTAGATTCACAATCTGAATTGAATCTCTATCGAGCCCAGGTGTCGACTGATCCGTGCTGCTTCTGTGTATCTCGGGCTGCGACGAGCCTCCAGAAAGCTGTCTATCAGGAGTGGAAGCTTGGCGAGCATTAGCCGGTGTTGGCGCGCTATCGACTGAAACTGATTCTGATGCATGTTGTTTATGTCGACTCCAAGGAAATCGTGATCGTTTTTTGGGGACCACGATATCGGGTTCGGGGACGTTGCGCTTCTCCGCAGGAGGGTCCGATGGTCGAGGGCGATGCAAGCTAACTCTTGTACTTTTCGACCGAGGCAAAGAGTCAAGTAAAAAGCCGCTTGAGCTTTGTGTCCTCCGCTGGCCCCGTGCCCTTCGGTCTCCTTCTCGGGAACTGCTGCCCAGTGTACTGCCCTCTAGCTCCCCACTAGCTCGTGCATCGTTCACGTGGGGAGTGCTTTGGCGAAATGAGCCTCCTTCGGATCGTAGTAAAGGTGAAGAGGGTCCTTCGGATCGGTCTCGCGGGCGATGATTGTTAGGTGGCATTGAAGATCGCGCCGGAGGTTCGTTCGGTCGTTGCGACATTGCGGCCAGAAGGGTATCGGTGCTAGATGGCCACGCTCGATAAAGAGACAGCGGACCTGGTTTGGCCAGACACGAGCATGGATGCGGTCGGCCAAGTTGGCAAGGATTCTAAAGCCAGCGCAATTAAACATAAGATTGCATGATCAACTTGCACGACGTAACGCTCCGATGTAGATCGCGGATGCGCGTCAGCCAGTAGTTTACGTAATCATTCTACTTGACTCTGGAAGTGACCAAAGAACGGAAAATGATATAACATCAAAGAGCCTTAAAGATAATTTGAAACAGTGGATGAGATATACTAGATTACTTTAGGCTAGCCTGTGGCCCTATTGGACCAAAGGACATAGGGAATATCTAGCATTTGGGTCTAAAGCACAAGTACATCTAAAGGTACAGTTCCTGTAGAAGACGAGGATATACAGGGTAAATTGAAATCGACATCGCTCAACGCATGCGCTTACTCAACACGCAGGCACTGGAGGCGGGCCTCGGCCTCAATAACCTGTAGAAAAGACTGTTAGCGGACCTTATTCAACATAGAGTGAACAAAGGAATGGTTACTCACCTCGAGAGCCTGCTTGACTTCGAGAACCCGGCGGACATCACCCAGCCAGTCCTTGCTGAGGATCTTGGCCCAGCCCTGGAGAGTATTCATCTCCCGAGCGGCGGCGTCAATATCACCCTGCTGCAACAAACTCTCGGTCCGGACCAGGATACTCTCCACATCATCGCCTTCCGACACGGCATCCTTCTTGAACATGACCTTGCTCAGGACAAGACTGGCAGCGTGGCTGGCCACACCGGCATCCTCGGGCAGCAAGCTAGCCTTACGGACTTCGCTGGCAACTCGGCGGAAGCGGTCGAAGATCTGGGTAGGTGAGGGGATACCACGCTGGTAAGCAGTGGGGTTGATGGAAGCAATGGCAGCCTCGACCACGGGATCGTCAGAGGCAAGCTCCTTCACAGCCACGAGCTCACGGATGAAGGGACGAGGGGTCTCGGCACGCTCAACCACAGTGCGGACGGCATCGAGGGCAACCTGAAGCTGCTGAGTCTTCAGGTTGGTGTCAATGACGCTGCTCCAACCGGCAGTCAAGTTCTCGAGTTCCTTGACGTCGGAAGTGAGCTCGTTCAGCTTACTGAGACGGCCCTCACGCTCACGCTCAACCAGGCCCTGGACCTCGTGAATGTACTTGCGGTTCAGCTCGATGGCCTGCTCGACGAGCTCGTTCTGAAGACGCTGCTCGGCAAGCTCTTGGGCGTGACGGAGCTCGGTGGAGACCTTTTGCTGGTATGCTTGGGCGAGCTTCTCACGCTCGGCCTCGAATTCCTCCCGGAAGGAGGCAAGGTCGGTGGAGCGCACCTCCTCGAATTGACGGATCAATTCCCGTGCGGACTCATCGAAGGTGGCGTGAGCCTTGTTGATCTCCTCCTGGGCGGTGTTGCGAGCCTCGCTACGGATGGCAGCGATCTTCTCACCAATCTTCTGCAGCTCTCCCTTGGCCTTGGCGACAGGCGCAGAGTACTTGCTGGAGTTCTCATCGGCACTGATTACTGTGACGATATCGTTGAATGTCTTGACCAGATCCTGGACAACAGAGTCGTCGCCATCCTGCATCTGCAGCAATTCAATGGTGCTAGCAGCAACAGCTGGTTGTCTGGGCTCCTCCAGGGAAACAGGCTTAGTCTCCTCGGGCTTAGTCTCCTCGGGCTTAGCCTTCCCAGGCTTAGTCTCCGCCTTAGAGGTGGTCTTCGAGGCCTTGTCATCCTTGGCCTTCTGGATTGCAGCCATGCGCTCTTCGGGCCTGGCGGTTGCGGACTTGGTTTGGCCCTCGTGGGCACTGGCATCTGTCTTGGCCTTACTGTTGGCGTTTTCTTCACCAGCCACCTTCCAAGACAATCCGCTCTTGCTGGGGATTGTGACAGCAGTTCCTTCTTCTCTGGGGACAGCTGGGAGACGGTTCTGGTGTCTCGAGGCATTGGGGAAGCGGCGGTAGAAGTCACGCTCCTCGAAGTATAGGACACATTCTTCGCCGTAGGGGATATACTCGGTGAAGAAATCGTGGAAGTTATCGGACTTCAGGGCGAGGAAGATGCTGCCGCCGTAAGCAAGGCCGGAGGTGAGGATCAGGTAGATCAAGAAACGACGGAAACGTCCGGTCTTGCGGGGAGCAGGCGGGGGAGGAAGCTTTGACTCTGCGATAGCATCGCATTAGAATTTGAGAGAAAATGACAATGCCGATATAGGAAGGGTCGTCATACCTTCAGCAGCCTTCACAACAGTCTCGGGAGGAACACTGGACTCGGAGGAAGGGGAGACTGGGGTCGGGCCACCGGTAGTAGGAGGCTTAGAATCGGCGAAGAATCGCTGCGCGTGATAATAGTGGTTAGAGGTGAAATTGGAGGCACGTGTTGTATCTTCTTACCTGACCGGCGAGTCGGTTGCTTGCACCGGCTCTGGACAGCCATTGCGACGGAATCCGTTGACGAATAGGGTTGGACAGCAATTGCCGACCCGGAGCAATCGAAGAGCGCAGCATGACGAGCCACACAATCGCCAAAAAAAGTGGCTAGAAGTGATCAGAAAGGTGGATGGGTAGGAAAACGGGAACTTGGATGCTCAAGTTGCGATCCGCTCCGATGATCCTGCGGGCGGTCAGGGTGGCTTCGCGCACCTCATGCCCACTCCAGCTACACATTGGGATTAGAGAATGTGGTATGATGTCCAGATAAATAATTCAAAACTACTAGTAGGCAAGCGTCTGAGATACAAAATCATAATGCACCGGCGTTCCCCTTGGGTCAAGCCATCAAATTTGAAGTAGATGCTATCCCGAACAATATATATCGAGTATACAAAACATACTAACGCTCAATTGCTAGAATAAAACCAGGCATTTGATCTACACATCACTCCGGCCAAGGTGAAGGCAATATTGCTTCAGAGAATCAGCCGTAAAATCACCCGACGACTCAATATTAGTCGTTCACGTAAATACAAGTGGAGAAAATGTACTGTATTATTTGGGCATAACATACTAAGAATCCTGAGAGACAAAGAAAGGGTAACGGGAATAGCAGGAAATTCAACCCAAGGTGACATAGGAGAGAGGAAAGCAAATGCAGACGCCAGGTTGGAAAAACAGGATTACAGGGGAACAGCACCGTCAAGCACAGAAAAATCCTGCCGTAGCATGTCTAAAGCCAAATTTCCATATGCGTCCATGGAATTCAAATCTCTCTGTCAGTGGCAGACTTGACAGCCCCAGTTGAACAGGCCGAGCAAAGGACAAAAAGAATCAAAGAAGAAACCGAGAGGATGAATCGAGAGTCTACCTCACGGCTCCATAGCGGTTTAGAGAATGACGCCAGAGCCTGATCAAATGAGATAGGCGAATTCATAGAAAGTCACAGAGTTATACCACCGTCGGACGATGCTGGGGTGGATAGCCTTCACCATCTCGGACGGTGAATTGAGCAAGTAGAGTGCCCAATGATTTGTTTAGCAATTGCATGCACCTGCACCCTGGGTGCCTGGAGCCTCAGGGCGCAAATCGACACCGGGCCGAGGAGTTGTCCGAAGGTTCCGAGGACCGGCCTGGTCCAAGGGCAACTTCTTCGCGATGGCGGTGAACAGTTCCTTGACATTGGTTGAAGACTTGGCGGAAGTTTCGAAGAAGAGCAGACCGGCTTCACGTGCGTAGGCCTCTGCATCGGCGGTTGGGATCGCTCGCTTATCGGGGCTCTCTGTGACGAGATCCAACTTATTGCCTGCCAGGGCAATCACAATGTTCTCATTTGCTTGGCGCTGAAGCTCCTTTACCCATGACTTGGCCTTGTCTAGCGACGACTGTTAAAAACTAAAGGTTAGCTTCCACGCGGGGAATCCAAGGGACGGAGAACGATACAGCTTGGGTGATGTCATAGACAACGACGGCACAGTTGGCATTTCGGTAGTACATAGGAGCCAGCGACTTATAGCGCTCTTGGCCGGCAGTATCCCAGATTTCAAACTTGACTGTGGTACTCTCATCGAGGGAGATGGTCTGTGTCAGGAAAGCGGCTCCGATCGTCGACTCGCGGTAATCATCGAATTGGTCCTGATTCGACATTTAGCATCTGAAGGCTCCATGTACCCTTGGATCACCGCGGGAGGTGATCAGGCGATTATTGAGGTCTCACTTTAACAAATCTCAGGACCAGCGAACTCTGAAAGATAGCGGTCAAGTTAGCGGCTGATAAAGAGGATCGCGAGAGGTATCCCAAACCTTTCCGACGGCAGATTCTCCTATAAAACAACATCAGTAAACTGTATACAGACCAGAGAGGAAACCAACAAGAGACTTACCAAGAAGGACGAGCTTAAACTGGGCGAATCGTGCACCCGGGCGGGCAGCTGGTTGTCTGGAAGCCATGCTGATCAGGGGAGGATGGAGTCCGGGGTAAGGTGGAGCGAGGCACAAAGACGGGGGAAGTTGTCTAAGGTCTGATATATCGGATCTCAACACCAGAAGAAGAGAAGATGGTTAACGGAAATAAGGCTAAGGTCTCTTAAGGCAGACAGGAAATATGATGACGGCAGACCCAGCCACAGGAGCAGCGGGGCGGTGTGGCTGACTTGACCAGACAAGTGTGTCCTGTACCTGCTTCGGCTTCATGCGTTTCTCCTATTCTCTTCTTCTTCTTTACTTCATTTCGGGACTATGGCACCTCCTATCCTCCCATTTCGGGATATCAATCTCCATGCATCACCTTCTCACTATGCGTTCACTTCCCCCTCGTCGCCCCAGGCACCCACTCTGGTTGTTGACAGACCAACTGGTGACTTGCGGTTGAATGATGGTCCTCTTTCAGGCGCCAAGCGCATTTCCAGTATTGCGGGAATCCTAGGAATTCTCAAACTGAAGCTCGGTAAGGGCGATCTCATCTAACCCGAGCTTGCGCTGACAAGGACAGACAAATACATCATTGTCATCACCAAAGCACAGCCTATGGGC